GACTCTCTGGGAGTCACATTGTGGGGGATTTACAAAGGATCCCTCATAGTGTGTCACGGTGCACACCTGGAGTTCCTATCATAAGGAATTCGGTAACTTCCAAAAATAAAATGTGAATTCTTACCCAAAAAGAGGATCCTTATGCACTGCGAATACTTCTCAGTAGGTAACCAATGGTGAGTGCTAAGTAAGCATGTGTTTCTCCCCAAATGCTAAAGGAATCCAGCAGTGGGGTGGGATCAGTTCTTATTGAAGAGATCTGGGCAGTTTTGATGAAGAAGGTGGAATTCAAGCTGAACTCTGAGCAATGAGTGAGATTTTCAAATGCAAAGCATAAACTGTGTGTGTGGTGTGGGAACGTAGGTAGTAAGTAGCTTGGGGTAGTGAAATCAGAACATGAACCTAGAAATGTAGGTTGAGGCTTTGGCCAAGAGCCTTAAATGCCAGATTCATATGCCTGTAGGGAACCATCGAAGATGTCTGAGAAAAGGACGTAAGATGAGACTGGCATCAAAACAGAAATGTCAACTATGTCTTTCTGTTCTAATGAAGAAGCAAGACTCCAAATGTTTTATAAATGTATTAATATTCACTTTGGCCAGTTTCAATGACTTAAGACTTTTCATTGACACCCTCTTGTTCTTAAAGACACACACACCTTTATCACAACCTATAAGATTCTTACAGTTCAGTCACCACTGTCTCCCATCATGCTGCCCTTGCTATCCATGCTGCAGCTACATTGGTCTACTTGAAGTTCCCCTCCCACCATGCCTCTCCCACTACAGGGCTTTTGCATCTGCTGTCCCATCTACTGGATAGCTTATCCCCCTCCTCTTTGTCTACTTAAATCCTAATTCCTCCTCTTCCTTTTGATCATGGCTCAAGCATTTCTTCCTGAGAAAAACTCCCCCTAACCTTCCCATTGCAGGCTATCATGGCACAATGTATTTCTCCATCCACCTCCTACCATTTTACACATATAGTTGTAATTCTTTGATTAACATGTCTCCTTTACTAGGCTGGAAGCTCCATAAGAGGAGAGGCTTTCTTCCCCTGGCTGACAACTGTAACCCGATGTCTCCATATAGAAGTGCCCAATAACTATTCATTGTAAGGAAGAGAAAGAAAAGTCAGGACACCAGACAGAAGAACCATTTGGAGGGGAGAATGCTTATCTGTTGGTCTTTTTTAAGGAATCAGATAATGTAGTTCTATAACTCATTCCGTCCTCTACTGTTTTATGCCTTTTATAGCTAGTTCAAGCTCACATTGCTTGTCAGGATTCAAATCCAGGCTTGTCTGGTTTAAAAAAAAAAAAAGGCTGTGTTTTCAGTTACAGTGTGTATGTGTGAGCATGGAAGAGGGAAGAAGGCAGAGTGAGCTTCCTCACAAGTATAAATCTGATCCTACTGTGTTTCAATTACTTTTTCAATATATAGGTCATCAAGTCTCGCTTACTTAAAAGCTTATAAACCTGCAAGCACAGGCAGCAGACTGTTGTCAATATCCTTTCTGGGAAAAGTCTTGCTTATATGGTGCTTTTTTCACTCCACTTCCTCTTATATGGGATTTGTGACACATAATTGAACTCAAAAAAAAAAAACTCAAAACCAAAAAAAAAAACAAACCTGAATTGAGCACCTCTGCGTGAAGGCACCTAAGGCTAGTTAGTAGACATGTCCAATGCCAAGTTCCTCTGTCCTTCCAATGTCCAGTCCTGTTTGGTGGCACAAACATACCCTTCTAGAGAAAGTAGTAACTCATGGCTCAGCATGACACCATTAGCATGTAATCTGTGAGTTTGGGTACATCATTTAACTTCTCTGAGCCCTCAGTTTTCTATTTATAACTACTGGATTCAAAAAATAGTGAGCACCTAACTCTGTCCCTGGTATTTTTATAAGCACTATTTCATCTTGTCTTCACAATAATCCCATGTGGTTAGAAATACTCACTTTGTATTATGAGGGAAACTAACTTGGAGAGGGAATGTGATTTGCTCAAGTTCCCATGATCAATAAAGGAACCTAGGACTCAAATCCCGACCACCTGATTACTATTTCTATATACTATGTCTCCTACCTCAGCAGGCTATTGTAAGAACCTCACAAAGAAATGTAATTAAAAGCAAGTTTCAACCGTAAAACTATACAGTTTTAGTAACATTATGCAATTTGCTACATTAGAGAGTAAGAATTAGAACCTAATCTAAGATTTTAAGGGTGATGAATTAATTAGCAGAGAACAGATTATTTTTCTCCTAAGAATAGTAATTATTTCCTCTACTTCAAAAGTTCTCAATTTAAAGTAGGAAAAAAAAATAATTGAAAAATGGGCAAAGAGCCTGGATATTTCTCCAAAGATATACATATGGCCAATATGCACACGAAAAGAGGCTCATCACTAACCATCAGGAAAATGTAAATTAGAACCATGATGAGGTACTACTTTACACTTCACACACTAGGATAACTATTTAATACAACCAAAAAGACAAATAATAGCAAATGTTGGCAAGGATGTGGAGAAATTGGAACCCTCATATGCTGCTGATGGGGATGTAATACAGGCATTCGCTGTGGAAAAGTTTGTCAGTTTCTCAAAAGGTTAAACAGTTACTGTAGGATACAGTGATTTCAATCCTAGGTATATGCCCATGAGTATTGAAAACATACGTAAAACTTGTACATGAATGTCCATAGCAGCATTATTCATAATAGCCAAAAAGGAGAAACAACACAAATGACCATCAATGGATGAATGGATAAACAAAATGTGATATATCCATGCAATGGAATGGCCATAAAAACGAATGTAGTCCTGACACAGGCTACAACATGGATGAACCTTGAAACTATTATGCTAAGTGAAAGAAGTCAGTCACAAAAGACCACGTATTGTATGATTCCATTTATATGAAATGTCCAAAATGGGCAAATCCATAGAGACAGAATTAGTGGTCACCTATGGCTGGGGTGGTGGTGGTGGTGGTGGCAGTTTCTTTCTTTTGGGATCAACAAAAATGTTCTAAAATTGATTGTGGTAATGAGTTGCCCAACTCTGTGAATATATGAAAAACCACTTTAAATGGATGAATTGTATGGCATATGAATATATTAAAAAAGCTTTTTTTAAAAAAGTTGTCTAAGTTCATCATAAACTGCACCTGCAATACTAGGCACTCATTAAAGTTTACATTGAACCAAATGGATTTTTCTTACCACTGCCTGGCAGTTTTTAGGATTCTAATAATTCTGTAACATTTGCATTGTAATTTCTGAATATCCTTCACAGGGATGACTTAAAATTACTTTTAATTTATGGACTTAAACACAGAATACTAATAGATATAATGCTAAGACTTTCAGTAAAAGGATGTCTGGAAATCCATATATGGCATCACCATCTATCCGCTTAATCAAGAAACCTAAGAATCATTCTTGTTTTCTCATTCCTTCATCCCTCATATCCATTTCATCAGCAGGAAGCCCTGTTTACAAACTCCATAAAGGTAGGATTTTCTTTTTGTTCACTGTGGTATTGCCGGTGCTTGGAATGGTATCTGTCACATAGAAGATGCTTAATTAATATTTGTTGAATAAATAAATGAATTCATGCTGTATTTGGAATTAGCACATTTAAAAGAAAAACTTTAACCTCTCACTTGACAATTTGTGTGTGTGTGTGATATATATATAAATATATATATCAATAAATATATATATATGTATTTTTTTAACTTGGACTATGGCAGTTCTATTTGCCATCCCAGATGTGGAAACATACTAAGGCTAAATTCTCAAAGGGACACAGGTAAGCTATGCTGCCAAAATATGCAGAACATAAATTTATTCAAGTTTGCTCTTGCTACCTGATCCATGAATATTCAAAAGATACTTTATTTCATAAAAACTTACATCTGTAAGTAATGGATTGACTGTAACAGAGGGCTTAACCTGGAATACATGTATAGGCCTACGGGCCCACGAACCCCTAAAATTGTATGCAAGGTCTAACATGTAGTTAACATGTGGCATGTTATCTTTTTGGTGAGAGAGTTCATAGTTTAATAAGATTTCCAAAGAAATCTATGACCCGAGAGGTTAAAAAATTACTTAACTAGAAACAGAGTCACCAAGATTTTTAAACATGAATTTGTACAATAAAATAATATCCAACAGCTCCATCTATGGGTAAGTCATTATCACCTAGTAGAAATATTGACAACCACCAGAGATCAGTGCTTCTCATGAATGCTTGTGTTTAAATCTTCAGTGTCACTCTAGTGGGAATTTATTAACTATAATATCACAGCTTTTTTTCCCAGATGTAGATGCAAAAATTAGGAAACTGTTGATGGATTCTACTTACAGTACTTCAGCACCAAAAAATTGGGCAGTTATGCTGATATATGTATGTACAGTTCAACATTTGTCAGTCTTAAAATGCTTATTTATAGTGAAATCTATATAAAACCGTTAAAAATTTTCTATTTACATTTTTTAAAAATGAAAAGTATAGTTTCCTTTGCCACAACTTGTCAAAAATGACTCTTACCCTCCCACCCCCTTACCCCTCACTCTACTTGTGACAGACAGCAATCACAAGACCAAAACATATTGTTTAAACAAACTGTGTCCTAAAAAGGTAGAATACTTAAAAATGTTACATTGAGAACTGTAAATGAACTTTTTATACATTTCAAAGGGGCTTAAACAAAAGTATGTAATAAAAATTATTTTCAAAGTCTCAGTCGAACATGAACGTGCAATTTCAACGTTAAGAAAGCATTGTATGAATGAATAATTTGTTTTCTTAACATAACTGAACATTTCCTTTGGAACAGAAAATGTTTCTTTTCCTCTGCTTCACAATGAAACATTTTCTAATAAGTTTTCTTAGTGGAGGAGGGGAAAGGGAGAGGGGGGAGGGGGTGATAGCCCTGGAAAGGGTTGGCAATCCTGATTTACAAGAAATCTGTCAGAAGGAATATGGTCTGCTTTGAAATGTTTACACTTAAATAAATAGAAGGCAAATGTGCTGCCTAGAGCACAAAGGAACACCACCACAATAAATTAGCATACAACTGATGAGAATGTACAAGCCACCTAAAAAGCACTTCCCACTAGTTAGGGATCTGATTTCCACCATCCAACAAGGATTCTCCAATACCAATATTTTTCTACATATTTATAAACTAATTATGAACTGAGCAAATGTAAAATGTTAACCAATTCAACACTTCCAGGGATTTGCAAAAACATAAAAGATTTTTAAAAAACTTTTCCTGACACATCATTTCAAAATACAAACTATTCACATTCTCCTTCAAGATGGTATTTTGCTCAGTAGAAACCAGTTGAGAAACATTCACAGGAAAAGTCTCTTTCCACTGCAAGACAAAACTTTTCCATCGGCCATGGTCCAACAGAGAAAGAATTCAGGTCTTAAGTCACTGTAGATGTGCATCTTTTTTTTTTTTTCCTTTTTCCTTTTTTTTTTTTTTTTTTTTTTTAAAAAGGACATTCCCCTGTGAGTTTTATCTTGTTTTAAAACGCTGCTCCTGCAGCAATATCTTGTTGAAACACTGCTGTTTTAGGGTCCACAGCCTAAGTATGGGCAAAGTGCTCTTTTTAGACATCAAAATACAAGGGTTTCCCTGGACACTTGGTAATCAAGCAGGTTTTAAAGTGCACTACTGTGTCCAAAACACTAGGACCGTTCAGCAGAACTCTGAGAGGGGCTGGGCTCGGTTCCATCCTCCGTGCTACTGTCTATGTCCTGCTCCATTGTTGTCTCATCATCATCCAGCTGCTGACTGGTGAAGTTATTTAGCTCAAGAAGCCCACTGGGCTCTACTACCACATTGGAGCTGGAGTGACAAGGAATAGCATACTGGGGAATGGCCTGGAAGAGAAGACACAGGAGAATCTTTATGATAAGAAAAGGTAAAAGAAGGATTTCCCCAACAACACTAAGAAAGAAAAAAAGAAAACTGACATTTATTGGACAACTACTACATGCCAGGCACTGTGCTAGGTGCTTTCACATATAATGTTCTACTAAATCCCCATAAGAAAATTATTATTCCCATTTACAAATGAGGAAAGTGAGACAGTAAGTGACTTAATCAAAGTCACAGAGTTGGTCAGGGTTAATGCCCCAGTGTTCAAATCCAAGTCTTATACAACTCAAAGTAATCTTTCTACTTCTTTATGGAGCCTCTTCTAACAAAGGAGGTGGAAGCCTAATTCAAGAGACAAACTTTGCAGGACACTTTCATTTGATCATTAGGTAAATTTAAATGTAAATGTAGTCAAATTTTGCTCTTTATTTGCAAGATGATTAATTTGCTGACATCACAATATATTTTAACCCTCTTTGGTGGTTCAAAGGGGAAGTTATTTATTTGGGTCACATAGTAACAATCTTTATTGAAAATGAGAGTAATGAAATCATTCAAGTACAAGAGAGGTCAAAACTTGCCTTTAAGACAATAAAAATACCAGTAGATAAACAATTGCTATAGGCCTCTGAGCAAGTAAATATCATAGGCATATTGCCTTGTCAGATTCTTTTTCCTCATCTTTATGAGACATTTTTGTTTATTTCTGTTATTTATTTATTTTTTTAGACAGGGTCTCGCTCTGTCACCCTGGCTAGAGTGCAGTGGTGCCATCATAGCTCATGGCAACTTCAAACTACTAGACTCAATCGATTCTCCTGCCTCAGCCTCCAGAGTAGCTGGAACTACAGGTGCGTGCACCACCACACTTGGCTAATTTCTCTATTTTTTGTAGACACAGGGTCTCACACTTGCTCAGGCTGGTCTTGAACTCCTGACCTAAAGCAATCCTCCCACCTTGGCCTCCCAAAGTGCTAGGCTTACAGGCGTGAGCCACCACCCGGCCTCTAGACGTCTTTTTAAAAGGTGTATCAGTTCATGTCATACCTCTGCTTAAAACTCTGTAACTGTTTCCTCTTGTACTTGCTATATAATCAAACTCCTTACCACAGCTCCAGCCTCATGTCAAACACACTTGTACATCAGGGCTTCTGCGCTAGTCCTTCCCCTCTTCGTGGAATACTCTTCCTCTAAATCTTTGCATGGCTGGCTCTATTCTGTCATCTGCAATTTAGCTCAAATGCTTGCAGAAGCCTTCCTTCTATGGCCACCAAACCAAAAGTAGTGGGTTGGTCCCACCCTCCACCTCTATTATTAATACATTCTATTACATTTTGTTTATTGTATTTATCAAGTGTTTGTTAGATTGTTTTTTATCCTTAGGATGTAAGCTCCATGAGAGCAAGGACAGAGCACAGACCTTGACTATTTTATTTATTGCTAGATGCCTAGAGCTTTGACCAGGGCCTGGCACATAGTAGATGCTCAATAAACATTTGACAAACGAATAATACATTTTTTAGAATACGTTTTTAACATTAAAAATCTCGGAGCAAAGTTGAATACTAGAGCTGTGCAAATATACCTGACCAAAATAACCTTTTATTGGGGAAAGATATAAATTTAACATTATGGGGGGGGAGAATAAATTTAACACTCTCAAGAAAATAATGCAATCAATAGGCATTGATTCTAGGATGTGAAGTTTTGTTTGTTTCTCCATCTCTCTTACATATTGCTGATCATTGTGAAAAACTATTAGATGGGGTCAGGAGACTTGGATTTTAGTTCTGCTTTGTCCCTGACTTGCTGTGGGGCTCTAAGTAAGTCACTCCACCTCCTTGAGCCTTAGATTAATCTTGTGTAAAATAAGATAGTTGGAAGATATACTCTAAGATTTTTGCAGTTCTAAAAGTCTATAAATTCCATACAGATGTCTTCAGGATAGAAAATACATCCATCTTGTTTACTTCCCTATCCTCAGTGCTTAGCATAGTACCTGGAACAGAGTGGTTAAAAAACACATGTGGAATGAGCAAATGAATAAATGAATCAATGAAATAAACACAGATTGCCTGTCTACAAAGAACAATGATTTTCATTCCAAGCATTTAACATCAAATGTTGAATTTTGTAGAGCATTCTTTATAGAATCAAAGCACTTCACAGACCCCATAAATCAATACTTCAGATCAAAGTTAAACATAACTAATAAGATCTGAAAATGTTCTAACAATACATAACTGATGAGTATAATAGCAGGAGTTATCTTTATGGAATACTGCTCTACATCAGACACTTGACCAGGTGGTTTTACATACATTTTCTCACTCCACCCTCAAAGCAACCCTGTGAGATAGGTGTTATTGTTTCTATTTCATAGGTAAAGAAACTGAGGTATAGAGGTTAACTCAGTTGCCCAAAGCCACAGTGCTATTACATAATGAGTACAGGTGGAAATCAAATTCAGGGATCTCGGACTCCAACAGCTTGGTTCTTAATTACTCTGCTGTCCTTACCTCCGACATAGCACATCTAGCACATGGGATATGCTAAAATATGGCTGAGAATTCTGTAGAGAACCTATGTATTAGTTATCATCCTTGAAACATGAAGCAAATTATACTTTCCCCCCTGTTAATAAAGTATAAAAAAATAATATCCAAATAAGCTATCCAAAATGGTTTTCAATTTAGTGAATATAGCAATCTAAACTCCCAGAAGCTACAGTAAATTTCAGTAAAAACCTTACTAGTTACCACATGTTGGACAATCACTATAAGCCAGGTACTGTGCTAGATGCTCAATTTTGTGTAATCCTTACATCAATCCTGTAAAGTAGGCAGTATTTATTCCCATTTTACTGACAAGGAATCTAAGGTAGGGTGAGGTTAAGCAGCCTTGCCAAAAGTCATACAAAGAATGGCAAAGCCAGAGAACCATTCCTTTGCTACCATACCCTACCTCTCCAGGGAAAAATTTTAAAAATCACAAATCCTTTTATCAAGGATTATTTAATTCACTAACATTTGTTTTTACAAACAGAAATAAATTATTTGAATAATTCGATGGCCATTCCTACTTGCCTTTGAGTATTTTCCCCATACTTAATTATATCTTAATTGGTTTAACATTGGTCAATTTGCATTCTCTCATAGTTTGACATCACAGCAAAGAGAGAGTTTACCACAAAAACTTCCAAGTCACACAATAGTGAATCTATGGTAAATCTTAGACTGTTCACATTTCAATAAATCCAAATGCTTAATTAACTAAAATGTGCTGCTCTGACACCTTCTAAGTTATATATCAGCTTAGCAAAAAAGGACAAATGTCAAGAAAACAACCTGATATACTGACAAAGAGAGAGGGAAATAAAGCACAACTTCCAAAATATAATCTGGACTCGGTAATTCTTCAGTCTTAATCTATTATGCATGAGAGATGACTTTTAGAATGAAGGGAATGTGAGGCATAGGAAGATCTACTGTCAGTGAATATTCCATTACGTTAACTAGCCTGTACTTACCAAAGCAGACAGTAACCGTAACAAGATTTTTAAAATAACAATGATTGAAATAAAAAGCAAAGTTTATGGTTAATCCCAAGTTAGATATAAAATTATTTAGAAACATCCCCTTAGAACATGTTTCTTCAGACATTCCAGTTAATTGAGGTTTGTCCCAAGAACCATAAATTTGGATAAAGAACAAGAACTGTTTTTCGAAGAGTCCCTGAAATTAACTTGAAATAAAAGTACAATCCAGTTACATTCCAGGATTTTTTTGAGTAAAGATTTGGGAGTCTAAAATTTGAACCTAGGAAATTGCTAATGTTCTGCGTTGACTTGCTAATACATTGGGAAGTATGGCTTGTATCTTACAAAATCAAGCTGACACATTGGCTTGGGGCCCTTTATTGCCTTTACGATATGCTGTGTGACAGTATCCATCAATTTTCTATGATTCTCTTCCAGAAGACAAGTATAAATTTGTATATTTGTAATAGGTATTAAACCAAATTTGTCAAACACCACCTCAAAGATAATCTCTATGTCTTCTTGCCATCTTGGCCTGACTCTTCCTGTGACATCCCAAAACACACCAAACCCACAACCCCCCAAGATGCCCAAGATTTCTCATTTTCTTTCTAATTCTTACCTGGATGATAATTTCTGCTGGGCTCTCTTCAGCTTTCTTTTGGCCTACATTCTGAATACGCATGAATTGGCCTGTTGTGGGCATTCCTGGTGCATCGATTTTCCTTGTCGTTAGGGGAGGGCCAACAGCAGAAGGACTTGAACAGGACTCTCTACATTTCTGTTGCTGGGGAGTGGAATTCGCCATCCCTGCCACCACCATGTGGGTGGAGGGTAATGATCCTGCTTCACCAGTGAGCAAACTAGTGGCAAGAGCTTTCTTTGGGGGTTCCACTACCATATGCTCTACATTTGTATCAATCTGTGCTTCCATCAAAGACATTTTCAAAATGTCTGACACTGCTGTCTTCTCAGAGGCCTGAATGGGAGATATGCTTGTAACTGGTGATGTCAGCTTAGGCACAGAACTGCCACCAGTTATCTTTGTAACTGTGGGAGGCTGGCGCCCCTCAAAAGTTATCTTTGTAACAGAGGATCCTTGGGTTATAATTGGCTGCTCCACCTGAAAATAAATTGGGGTTGTGTGTGTTACAGCTACATCTCTTTGAGCAAACCTAATCAAACACCCCAGACAATATGGCAAAAGAAACATTCGTGCGGTATACTACAAAGACATTTTTGAAGCTTGGTGTTTTAAAAAGAGGGCTGAATTGGAAGGATCTGGTTACTTTTATGTAGGGAAAGAGGAGGGGTTCAAAGAACTTTTGTTCAGCCAGCCAAGGTTTATAGTAGTAAAGGGGGAAAAAAAAAGTCACAGCAGCCGAGTTTCCCCTTGGGATTCATATCCCTTAACAGTATACCTTCAGCCTGGCTCAAATGATTTCATATAATCTTCAGCTTTTTAAAATAAAAAGAAGTAAGATTTTTTCCAATCTTTTGCTTCAAAATACATTTATACAAACATATTCTATATATACATATATGTATTTATAATATATACATACACACATGTATATCACTCCAGAGTCACTGACTTTCATTAATATAATTTTTTCAATCATCCACAGATAATTCCTCTGCAATCTAGAAGATAAATCTAGAAGATAAATTTATTAACTAGATGGTGATGATGTAAACTACAAAGGAAGACGTTCAGTGAAGCTCCTTAAAAGACTGCAGTTTACTTAGCCTTATTGCCACAGAAATAAGAGTTTATAGGCATGGAAATAAATATTTTATACCTAAAAAATAATTTAGAAATATCGCTTCTATGCACTATTGATCAATGCTGAAGTGATTTCATTAAAAACTGCCTGGAAAATCAAGTTCTGAGTGCTATGCTTTTTTTTTTCTTCCTACATATTAATGCGTGCAATTCTTTCCTAATGTCAACCTTCTGATGGGGCAAAGTAATAACAGCGTAATGAGGCTTTTGGGTTTCCTCTTGCCAGAAGAAAGCACTGCTACCATGATAGGGTCGTGATGTTCTCATTTTTTTTCCGTGAACAGAGAAGTTTAACTTTGCATGCTATCAATATTCCGTTACCTGGCTTGCCGTCTGTTTCTCTGACGAGGCTGGGAGCGACATTTGGCTCTGGGGGGTTTGGGGTTGCACGTAGATTTTTGGTTGGTTCGGAGCCTGTTGCAGTTTAGGGAGCTGCTGCGTGGTTTTCACTGCAAGCACCTGTACTACAGTTTGCGGGGGCTGTGCCATTAAGGTAGGAAGCTGCCTGTCTTTGGCCACCATGGGATGCTGTGTGTGCTGTACATCTGGCTTAGGCTGTGCTTGTTCTTGCTGGAGAGGGGTGAGTTTTTGATGCCTGATGGAAAGCTGAGGCATTTGTGGGAGTTTGTGTTGGAGTTGGTCTGCCTGCAGGTGGATGGTCTGCTTCTGCTTAGTCTGGAAGCACTGCAGGGTTTTCACTTGCAGCTGAGTCTGTTCCAGCGGGGGCTGGCTAAGTTTCTGTTGTTTAGCTGACTGTGACTGAGTCAGGGCAGATCGGTAAAACAGACCTGTCTGAGGGTCTAAAGTGTCCATCTCTTCAACCTCGCCCTCCTCAGTTCCAAGTTCCTCGCTGTGTTTGGTAAAAGCAGTGTGACTGCTTAATGCCTAAGTAAAAAAGGCACAAAGTAAGAATGAAATAAGAAAAACACCTACATTGCTACATTTTCCTCAAACTGGAAAAACAGTTGTTTATGAGATTCATTCAAAAATTTTCAAAAGAGCCTAAAAAGACCAAGAAACCTCAAGGGGGCTTTAGACAGAAACTCTAATAATTTAAATTCTCAGACATCAAGTACTTCAAAAACTGGTCTACTCACTAATATACGAAAAGTACTAGAGGGCCCAGAACTATAGATTAGAGGAATAAGGTAGTCCTGCAAGCACAGCTCAACACAGAAAAAGAAGAGAAAGGCTTCCTGGCTCAGGAAAAAGCTCTTCAGCCTACTCATAAGACATTAACCTATCTAAGGAAAGAATGCAGCAACCAAAGAGTGAGGTGTCCAGAGAAAAGCCAAGGTTCAGAGAAGCCCAGTTTGGCCATGTGCATGTCCAGTGCTGTCCAAAAAGTCAGGGATATTGTCTGAGAGATGTACCCATCCCAATCCCCACAGAGGACCTCCCTGCAGGGAATGGAGATGGTTCTTCAGGCTTCACCAAGGTCTGTGTGAATCATTTCTCCACCAGCCCTTCTTGCCTAATTGCTCAGATTCCAGGCCTATCAGGCAACAGCTTCCCAGAGACCTGGCTCCCAGAAGGGAAAGAGGTTGGGGAGGGGACAAGAGTGCTCCTGTCAGTGGAAAGGAAGACTGTCTGGTGTCAGTAATGGGTTGGGAGGAGGAATCATCTTGAGTGACATGATTATGGCTACCCAATCTGACCTCTCTAGGTGTCCGGACAAAGCTCAGTGTCAGGACCTGCCAGGTGAGGGCCAACCTCCAGCCCGAGACCTGCTACCCAGCAAAATCTCTGACCAGTTGGCTTCCCCTAGAGACACAACAAGATCTACCTATACCCCGGGGGGAGGTGGGAATGGGTATATACACATGTAATGGGTGCAGTGCGCACCATCTGGGGGATGGACACGCTTGAAGCTTTGACTCAGGTGGGCCAAGGGCAATATATGTAACCTAAACGTTTGTACCCCCATAATATGCTGAAATAAAAAAAAAAATCTACCTATACCCATCCTTAGCACTGCCTTGTCATACGCTATACGTCCACTCTAAACTTTAAAACTTTGACATTCCATTTTAACTCTCCTCCATATCATAATGACTTTACATATACAGATTTTCAATTCAATATCTCTTCATTTCCTTTCAGGTAGTTTGCTTACAATTAGTTTCAACTGGTCCCATCTGAGCAATGGTGATTTATGTGACTACTAAATCTACCACTATGTTAAATATGATATCCATGACATAACTATGTAACAGAGGCAGTTCACTTGGGTTTAAATTCTGGCTCTGCCACCTGGGACAAGTTACTTAACTTCTGTGAGCATGAGTTTCCTCACTTGTAAAAGAGGGATAATATACCCACCTTGCAAGAGCATACTGAGAATCAAACAATTTAATATGCTTAAAGCTCAAAGCACAGTATCTAACACAAAATCAACCTATCAACATATTTTTCCTTTTCTCCACTACCCTTAATACCAGATGTTCCTATTTTATATTATATTTATATTATCAACTTCCTATCACATCTCTTTCTCTATTGGCCACATACAGTTAAAGAAATCAAATAGTTATTTTCATACTTACTTATAATGTTCCTATGAGCAAAAGCAAAAAACAAAACAAACCCAGCAGCAAACAGCTAAACATTAGCCAAATGCTATTTCATTTGAAAATCTTATACACAACAAAATACAAAAGAAAGTGACCAGTTCTGATGTCATTAGACTCATCTAAACAGCCTTATCGTTTTAAAATGGTAAGCATTCACAGAAGATTAAAAAATATTGTTTCATAATTATTTTCTGGTGTTAAGACCTTTAATTCACAGTTAAATTACATAGTCTACAATTTGGTTATTTCTCCTCTTAAAATAGAAGATGAAACTAAACCTTATTTCAGGAAGGAGACAATTACAGAAGACAGGAAGAAAAAGAAGAGATACAACCTGCTGCATAATGTGGGTGATTGCTCCAGGGGAAGATGCTGGGATGGACTTCACCACCACTGAAGTCTGTGTTGCAGTCTGTGACTGAGCCACATGCTGGAGCAGGGTCCGCTGGGGCTGGGAGGGTTGTTGGGACTGGGAGCGATGGCTGACTGAAAATAGAGGAGGTGATGATATTTCTCCAGAAATCACCACAGCATCTGTAACCAGTAGTCATTTTAAACAAATGTCTGTGAGCTTGCATCACAGACAGAAAGTGTAGTATTGTGAACTAGGAGGCAGGAGTTCAGAGTCTGCCCATCTATGAGCTGTGTGACTCTAGAAAGTCTCTTATCTTCTCTGAGACTCTGTTTCCTCATCTGTAAAATGGGAATAACAGAGCTATTATAAGGATGAGATGAGAAATGTATGAGGAAGCACTGGGAAAACTATTATCACAAAGGAGGAACTTCTTAAAGTTATATCCTCCTATCTGGCGTACTCACTTTCTCCAGTGATTTTTCTCCCATTAAAATAACAAAGCAATAACCAGTTTCTATAATTCCAGACTAATATCTTTAAGGAGAGTAAGGCAATACAAATTCTTTTCTCCTGGTCCCAGTTTCACATGCAATACAAATATTGGGAATATTCACTCTTTTATATGAAATAACTCTCTCATAACCTTACAGTTCCTAAAAATGTAAAAAGTCAGGGTGATAATGCAGAAAATAAATTAGACCAAGAGTCACACTTGGATTCTGTCCTGCTCTGCCACCAACTAGCCAAGTGAAGTTGAAGACATCACTTACCCACTATTAGCCTCTAAAACTTAGAAGTTTTGTTTTGTTTGATTTTTTTAATGAAATAATAAAAACTTGATGTTTCTATCTAGAAGAGGACCAAATGATGTAATGGATTAAAAAATGGTCCTTATATTATAAAGTACTAAACAAAATGTAAGGTTAAAAAAAAAAGAACAGAAAAATCTGTTCTGTCATCTCAAACTTAGCTCATCTGACACAAATAGGGTAAGAGTACCATGTAGGAAACAACCCCACTTCTTATTCTTTCGCTACAAAGGTCCCACAAAGTAACTAAAACTATATACATCTACGTAAGAGCCAATTTATCATCTTTTACCAACAGTATAAACATGTGCTACTTCCAAATCTACAGAGCTTTAAAAACACTTATGGTTACTGGGAAACTGATCCTTTGAAGCAGAAGCAGATACAGTCAAACAAACCCGAAAATTAGATAAGGACTGTGGGATTATTAGAACTCTCTCAATAATCCAGGATTCTACTGTTCATACACTTTGATCTACAATTTCAAGTAGCACTGGTTTCATACTTAGAAAATTCATAGTGAGGTGTCCAAGATTAAGATGATCATGATAGAAATCAATGTAAAAATACCATCTATGTACTATAAGGATGAACTTTAAAACTATCCAGTGAAATATAAACTTTATTGATTTTTTTATGACACATTCTATCTACATTCACAAATGTAGTGTTTCTATTGTTGCTATTTATATGTCTACATGTGATAGGAGATTACAGGCAGCATTACCAGTATTCTTTTATAAATATGCTACAGTACCTTACTGTATTTCACAGTATGCTTTATATGTACATTTGAAATGATACGAGTTAATAAAATCTTCCACATGTGCTCAACTGAACTGAAAATAAAGGAGTCAAGGTTTATATTAAAACACAATTATTGAAATCGTTTACAATATAACTGAGTAGAAAAAAAACAAGTTACAGTAATATTAAAATTAAGCAAGCAAATTAATAGTTTTTTAATGAAAGCATCATTGGAAATGAATTACATTCAAAAATAAATAATAAATTTATTATTTATGTTACATAAAATGTTATGTTATATAAAAGATTATATGAAATGTTTCTGCTGCCCATATTAATCTTCATAATTATATTTTTTATCAAGAAATGAAATGGATTTAATAGAAGATCAATTAAAACAATTTAAAAATAACCCTCCTTCAAGATATTATAAATTTCTTCACAGTAATTCCGCAGAATTTAGGAAAGTTAGAGAAAACTAACATCCACAACGGAAGGATACAAGGGGCAAGACCAGGCAGCTGGTTTTGAAGTCAAAGAAAATGCTCAATATGGCTGCAGGTATGGTGGGTGGAGATTGTGGAAGGAGGTCACAGAGTTAACATTTGGAAAATGGCTGAATTGACCTTAACTGGGCCACATAAGTACCATAAAACAGTCATTTATTTTTTTAAACAACTCTTATTTTTCCCAGTGTCAAACTGCTCATTTCTGAGGAAGAATCCCACTATTCTACAAAAGGAAAATCTCTCTCCCTTTCACTAAGCGGAGCTTACCTTTCCTCTACCAGATCAGAGTAGAGCGCATCCATTTAAGTGGTTTCCCCCAAACAACATCTTTTACCTTCAGTGATACTACAAATGGATGCACACCACTTACCTAGAAGGGGAAAAGCAACCTCTGTCCCCTCATCAGTGCGTTCTGAAAAGGATAAGTAAGGGAAGAAATCACAGGTCTTTTCATCTATTTACCATTTGATAATCTAGTCTACCCCCAGAGGTTTAATACTGAGTTCCCCAGAATACTGGCCTCTGCTTTAATTAGCTTTCTGCTAAATATCTCTAAAGAAAGATTCTAGATGGCTTTCTGTATCTTAACTGGATTTTCCTTTCTGGCAATTTTAACCCATTAGTTTTAATAATATCTCCTAAAGTGATGCCAAAAAATTTCTTTTCCTTTGTGGTATTTATATCCTTCAAATATTTGTAAGTTTATGTTCTCCTTTAATCACTGTTTAAGAAAACTTAAGATAGGAGTTCTCTACTTACGATATTGCCTCATAAGTCATCTTTCCTAACTCCTTAATTATTCACGTTACTACTCTCTGAACTATTTCAAAGCACAAGGTAATGAAGTGTTCAAAACAGAAAGCAGTGTTCCAGGTGTGGTCTCACCAGAATATGAAAGAAAGAATCTATTATCCTTCCTGCTTTACTTCATATATGCCATCCAAAAATCTCATTAGTACTGCCAGACCACATTTTAAACAAATACCCAATCTGCTTTCCACCAGAACTCCTGAGTATTTACAGGGATTTAAGGTTTTTCACATTTTTAATATTAAAATAAAAGAGTTGGGTTTCATACCTCTTTCCCTCTTGACCCACCTCCCCCAAAACTAAAAAATCCAGATGCATAAAAATACTTGTTCTTAGATAAAAGACATTTTATCCTCTCCTTACAACCATTGCCCTATATTCACAGATGTTATTTATGGCCAACTTGCAGTTTTACATTACTTACAAACTTTGTAACATCCTATTTTTTCCCCTAGACATTAAGATGGGGTAAATCCCAAGGATGACGTAAATTTGCTCTGAAAACAAACAGGAAAAGAGCTAAAAATATAAAGAATATATTCTTCCCCAAACAACCATCCCACGAAATCCAGAAAGGTAGCTCTCCTACCTTAATACTAGGTTTTAATAGGACACCTACCAGTAGTGATGTATTCAGCAACTAGTTCTGACTCTACCACAGCAATTGATGGACTCTCAGGAGAATGTCTCTTTTCCTGGGTCATCTGAATAGGCACTGCCATTTGACTCAAGTCAATAGTGGGTTGTCTTGGTTTAGATTCCAATTTTTCCTTTACTGCGTAAAAAATCAGGCGAAAAGTTAACTTTTATTACAAACAAGTACCAAAACCAGAGTTGTCCATGGGAATTATGAACCAGACCTCTGGGGCGCCACACTGGCAGTGACTAAGTAGACAGTGAATCAAAAAGAAAGGCCGACTGCTATGTATGGCTGTATAGGTACAACTTACATAACCATACTCAGCAGCCTAGCAAGAAGGACTCTCGTAATCATGCTAAAATCCTTCTCCTATTATCTCTAGGCCAAACAACTGGATGTTTCTCTTGTACACACTCCCCTTAGGGTATTTCCTTTACCCTTCTTCAAGGTGGTAGTCTTGAGTTCACCAACCTAAAAACAAAAGGTGAATAAGCAGCATACGCATGAGTTGCTCTAGGGCATATCTCCCCAGAATAGCACAACACAGTGACCAGTTTACTTAGAGCTACTAAAAATTCAAGACAATCTCCAAAGAAGTATTACGATGTCTTCAATGACTCTTAAGAATAAAAATTTTCATTGTTAGGAAAAAATGGCTTCTCTGTTTCTGTAAAAATGTCTGATATAAAATTCTGGAATCCAGAATGTTTTCAATGAATAGATTCACTTTCTAACTTATTATAAATACAAAAATCTATTCATTCAAAATTCCCACCTCTATAAGGCATTAATGGAAATGGCTGAGCACATCAAAGACAAGGAACTAAGGAAATGCTTAAGGCCAAAAATAACACCAATAGGACTAACCAAAGACTTACATTAAATGCTAGTAATCTTTGGGTAGTGCAGAGTGGAAGTTATAATAAACAGTAACCAGTAACTAAGTCCACTGAATGATCATTTCCACCAAGTACATAATGTGACAAAATCAAAACAGTCATTTAAACAAAGAAAGTAAAACAAAACAAAATGAATACAAAAGTCACCCCACAAGTAGAGAGGACATTAAACTAGGAGCCAAAAGATGTGACTCACTTTGTCACTAACCAACTGAATAATCTCTCTTGATCTCAGTTTACTTATCCATAAAATGAAAGGGTTGGATGAGATCATTGCTAAGGTCACTTAAATACTCTAACAATTTTTGACTTATTATAATAGAAAAGTCAGCATAACTTCCACAGGTTTGTTCTAGAGTTTACCAAAGATAATTAGTAACTAGAAATACTGATAGGATCTTGTTACATGAGAACAGCTTGGCATGGAAGCTCAAGTGGCTAACCTATGCTATACAAAGAAATAAATCGAAGATAAAATTAAATAAAAATGTTAGCAAGGGCCATTAATGGTGTTTTATGACCATAAAACTGCTCCATCAGTATAAAGGAAGATGGCAGGGGCCGTTCAATCTGCCTCTTGCTATTCATGAATACAACCGGCAACTAAGCTGTATCTATCCTTGTGCTTAGAAGTGATATCCTCCTCTTTTTTTTTTGAGAGAGGGTCTCGCTCTGTCACCTAGGCTGGAGTACAGTGGGACAATCATAGCTCACTTCAGCCTCAAACAATCCTCTTGCCTCAGCCTCCTGAGTAGCTGGGACAAAGGCACACACCACCATGCCTAGCTAATTTTTCAAATTTTTTTAGAGATTTATTTTATTTTCTTGTTTTTTTAGAGATTCCTTATTTTTTCGGGGTCTCATTATTTGCCCAGGCTGATCTTGAACTCCTGGCTTCAAGTGATCTTGTCGCCTCAGACTCCCAAAGTACTGGGATTACAGGCATGAGCCACCGCGCCTGTCCAGATTTACTCCTTTCTGGTGGCTAGAAACAATAGGACTGTCCTTTTTAAGCAGGAGACAGAAAGAAGACAGAGGTCTGTCATATTTTTTCTCCTTTCTACAGATAGTCCATCTGTGCTTCAGCACTCCTGTGTACATCTTAATGAACTAACAAGTAAACAGACTGTACCAATGATTATACACAAGTCCAGAGGGGGGAAATGTGCTCAAATTATAGCAAAAAAAATATAACAGTGGTAGTCTTTTAGCACAACCCGTCTCTAGAGAAAACATGCTTCATTCAATTGAGCATGTGAATTCATACCTGTTGTCTGTTGGAGTTCTAATAGAGCTTTGATTGTTGAAGTAGCTGATTGTGATTCACTGGATACATCCTGATAAATTATGGTGGGGCTAGTCTCCATTGCAATCTCATGTTCTGACCAATCCTGACGCCGGGAAGCAATTACATGAACTACAGGCTGGGAATCTGTTTTATATTAGTTAAAAAAAAACAAACCCTATAAACAAAGTTTCTTTTTAAAAAAAACAACTTGTTTTTTTTTTGTTGTTTTATCTTTGTATTTATTGTAAACTTCATGCTTTATCTCCCCAAGAAGACTGTAAGCCCCCAGAGGGCATGTCATTCACTTTGGAATTCACTTATTCATTCATTCATTCATGAATTCCACAAACTGAACACCTTTGTGTCAGAATCTATATTTGGTGTAGAAGATATAAAGGAACTCACAGAATAATCAGAGGATGCTCGAGAAGCATAAAGTCTGGTTGGGGAGACAGACATGTAAAAAGACAAATTACCATTCAATGTGATAACTGCTATATAAATAGATGTGCATTTGTGTAGGCATGTGCATGTTTGTGTACAGTAAGAACAAAATGCTGTAGGAGTCTTATTTTCCCCAATGCACCTGAAATGTATTCTGTATTACAGCCTGAGCATTCAGTCAACATGTATTGGATGGCTGAATCACTGACAAGAAATCTTGTCCACTGCCAGCAAGATAGATAACCTAGAAGCAACATGATATAATAGGACAAGTGTAACTTTTGGAGTTCAAAGTCTTAGGTTATAGCCCCACTATCAATTATTAGTAAGTTGATTCTTTGGGTCTTAGTTTCACTATTTCTAAAATAGGAACAATAAAATTACCTCTCTACCTCATAGGATTTCTGAGGATACAATGAAATGATATATGTAGTAAATGAGCTTTATAAATTATGAAGGACAATAAAAATGCTATTATTATTGTTATTGTGGCCTGGAAGTTCTCAATTCTAAGACTCTTTGTTAGTTTCAAAATAAATTACAGTCCTAATTCAAGGCTTATTATATTCATGCTATACAGGTATACATATAAATACTAAATGTGCATCAAATCAAGCAACAAATTATTTATTGAGTTTTCCACCTATAAAATAAGCAGCTTGTACTAAACTATCATTAACTTCCTAAACTCCTTTGTCCAAGACACTGCAGAAGAAATTGTGGAGAATATAAAGGCATGATTCTTACTCCCAAATTTAGATTATAATGGGTGAAATCATAAAATAAAGATATATGGCTTTGTATTTTGGGGTAAATATCAAATGATTAGGGCAAACCAGACCAATCTATAGAAAGTAAGAGACTGCTTTGAATTGGACAGTCAGTGAAAGCATCACAGAAGTATGAAAAAATTCAAGTAGCTCTCAAAATAAGAATAATTATAACAAAAGTTCAACCCTCTATGAGCCTTATATTTTTGAAAGCCACAAAGTTGTCCAAAAACGTTGGGGCAAGGGAAACAACTCTTCAAACAAAACAGCCTTCCTGAAAAAAACAAAATCAGTATACAATAGATCTAAAATTTTTAATTACTATTAACAAAACTGTATTCCCCAACCCTGCCCCAAAACACTGGGTAGAATATACACCACACCAGGGTTGTATAATTTCCATTAAACTTCCAGAAAAATACAGAAGACTGAAAGACACTATCCTGTAATACCAAATGTCATGTGAAACATATAACAACTTTTCCTTACTCATTGTAAGTAGATATGTAGATTTTAACTTAAGAGAACTGATAATATTAGGAAATCATATCTTTTTATATAACTTAAGCTCTCAAACTTAAATTCTCATGATGATATAAGCAAAAATGACTTTGCCACCCAACTTTACAAAACACACTAAAAATCCAGAAGAAGGCAGGGATTGTGTTTGCAGAGATAAGGTAGAAAGAGGTAGGAGAAGGGAAATAAATTTCACCTATCAGAGACCATCATCCCATATACCACCCCATGGGGACTAGGGAGATTGCTCTCTCTCTGTTTGTTTACTCTCAGAAAGAACAACTGACCATCATAAATTATCACTGCAGTAACCCCAACAGCTGTGACACAAGGTGAGGGTGTGAACCTAGGTGAAAACCATTCCTTGAATGACTCTCCTCTCTACTTCTGGCTATGCTTTGATAAATCTACTGTCTATCAAGTTTGATGCTGGGGTCAAAGAGTACAATGACTGGGACCACCAGGAGCCTGATCTCACCAGTACCATCTGCTTATGCAGAGTGCATCCATCTAGACTTCCCTACCTCTTTTGAGGATGGCAGCCTGTTGTCTTTCCCCACAGGTCATTTAACAAATATTTATGGGGTATCTACTACATGTGAGATACTAGAGACACACACTTTTGTATTATATTCAAAGGCAGACTCAGGCATCTCTATGGAAGAATATCTCCTATGTCTTTATTATAAATGGCCTGTATTACACTTCCATAGATTCTTAAGACTTCTCAGTTAGAAGGAACATTAAGGTTTGTTTAATGCTATCACCAATCCTATACTAAAATCTTTACAACAACATCTCCACCAGTCTGGGAACTCTAGCACCAGAGAACTCACTAGTTTCTAGGGTAGTTCCCTTACACCTTACACCCTTGCACAATTATGACAATTAGGAAGTTTTCTTATATTGAGTAGAAACAGATCTTGCTGTGACTTCTACCCAATGGTTCTAGTGTCTGTCCATGTATCCACAAAGACCAATTCTTTTCCCTCTTCCACAGTACAGTCCTCGATATACTGACAATCGCAGCTCCCATGTCCCCCCAACCTAACTCTCCCCATCTTCTCTCCTCCATGATAAATATCCTGTCTTCACCAACCACTCCTCATGCAAAATGATTCTCAGATACTCTACCCACCTAAACCACCTCTTCTAAAGTAACCTAAGACATTTATATCCCTTCTATGATGTAATACGTACTGTCCCTCTGAAGCATAGTCATAAATCTCAAGGCCTGTACAGTATTGAATTGCCTAGACAGCACAGCCCAAGATGTTCTAGAAAAGATTAGTTCCTCAAGATAGTCTTAAAAAAAAGAAGGGTTCCATGGTCAAAAAAGTTGGGCAACAGTTACATTTTATATTCCACTCTTCATCTTTCACAATACAAATTAGCACCTAATGGCTGTGAAAGTTCTGCAATAAGTATGTTTTGCTAAACTTGAATTTATTGCCCACCCTCACCTGAACTACTGAGACCATGAAGCTTTAGGAAAAATCATCCTAGAAACTGGTTGTGATCTTTGCAAAGCAATGTCTTTACAAGATACATTTTTGCATTTGCCTCATGCCTTATTACATTTTTAAATCCCGACTCTTGGTTTTGTCTCCTTGTTCTCTTCTACTTTACTTAATATATATAATCTTAATTTAATCTATCTTAAAAATCTTGTAGAAATAAAGCAAAATATAAACAAAGAGATATTTAATATTTATTTAAGAAAAAAATCAGGAACCCAATAAGGCTAGCCCATTCCCAAGTGTGAAATAAAGGAAGACCCGTTTAGGAAGGAAGGCACAGGAGCAATCGAAGACATATGGCCCAATCATCAATAAATGACCTAGGCCAAGTATCACCTTGATCCATCAGGCTTGGTCACTTAGCTACCTATCAATATCTAAGCAATAGTGTAGATATACCACTTGAAAGGCCCACCTACAAGGTTGAGGGGAACCCCAGAAAGGAAACAACATTTTGGACTCAGGTAACAAAAATGAGTCTATAGTGCTAAAGCTTAACCCTATGCCACAGTTACTATGGTTACTGTTCGGCTGTTTGTTCACTCAGTGAAACTTTTACTGAATACCTACTCTCATTGCTGATTAACCTCTTTGCTAAATACTGGATATATAAAGATGAATATGATCTCTGCCCTTGAGAACTAGTAGCCTAGTGGAGATGAAAGTAATTATAATAAGCAAACAAAAAGTATAAAATAAAATGGTTGATGTAATAAAATAGCTGACAGTACAAAGCAATATTGGAAGTATGATGTAAAAGGAGTGATGACTCCTCCACGGTGATCAAGGAAAGTCTCAGAAGAGGGTGATGATGAAGGCCTCTATTCTAACCTATCAGAGGACAGACAAGGAATAAAACATGGGGCCTAAACTTCTCCTTGGGAAGTTAAGAAACCACAAGTGGAATCAAGGCATTCCCTAAGTAACTATACAAGGAGATGGGGGAGGGCAAATAGATTATAAAAACTGGCTTTACAGTCAACTATGTCTATTCTGAATTGTGAAGTTTTCTGTGTTACAGAATATTTAAAAAGAAGTAATACACGATGAAAGATATACAATAAAAAAAATTGATGGGCCGGGCGCGGTGGCTCATGCCTGTAATCCTACCACTCTGGGAGGCCGAGCGGGCAGATTGTTTGAGCTCAGGAGTTTGAGACCAGCCTGAGCAAGAGCGAGACCCCGCCTCTACTAAAATTAGAAAGAAATTAATCGGCCAACTAAAAATACATAGAAAAAATTAGCCGGGCATGGTGGCGCATGCCTGTAGTCCCAGCTACTTGGGAGGCTGAGGCAGAAGGATCACTTGAGCCCAGGAGTTTGAGGTTGCTATGAGCTAGGCTGACGCCACGGCACTCACTCTAGCCCGGGCAAAAGAGTGAGACTCTGTCAAAAAAAAAAAAAAAAAAAAAAATTGATGAAGCAAACTTTTGTCCCATTCTTAGAATGAAAATTGAAGATTCAACTAATGAAATGCCATGTTTGGGAAGTGCTGATTGGCTTATAGCTCCCTTAGGAAAAACTACCAATTTGAAAGGACAACCTGAGATTATGTATATAGACTTCTACTGTTCATGTCCCCTTTCCAGTAACAACTCATAAGCTAAACATTTTACCTATCCTCCATGAAAATATTTCTTTAGGGTATAAAAAAAGCCAGATTACTCAAGAAACTGTAGGCTTAATAAAAGAAGGAAAAGCAGCTAATCAGTTGACCTATGAATGGAATCTGTAAATACCTAATCAGTAAGTCCAAAAGAAATGACTGGAGAATAAGCATCACTCAAGTGCAACTACCACATAAACTGATTCATAATCAATATAGAATAATAAAGTGAATCTTAGCAAATGGATTCAGAAAATATTACTATCATTGATAATATGTTGAAGGAAACCATCCATTTTCTAAAGTGAGTGTCATATTGTTTGTTAAAAATCAATATTTCCATTTATTTTTAATTGATGAGTTTTCAAAGAACATTTCAAATGCTACCTCCCATTCATGAAGCTTTTTCATCTTCTCCTCACTAGAGTGTGAACTTTCAGCCTTTGGCGTTTTTTTGTTCATTTCTAATAAAATTCTTATACTGGAGTGTATGTGTTTTTTTTTTTAATCTCCTAATCTAGACTTTAAGCTCCTGGAGGGCAAGAACTATATTTTACTCTACCTCTATAGGGTCTAGTACAATGCTCAGTATGCAGTATAAACTGATAAATCATTGTCAAATTGAATTAATGGACTAATCAGCAATATGAACCAAGAAAATATAATCTGGAAAGAGTCCACCAAGTAGTTAAAATAATAAAGTGTTTGCACAAAATGAAGACTGTGTATTAGAAAAGTGAAGGTGTTATGAGAGCACTCCAGCAAGAATAACAGGAAGGCAGGGAGGGGGAACGGAGGCAGTGAGGAAAGAACAAGAGAAGATAAACAGATTTGCTTAATGCATCAGAGTACATAAGCATAGACATAAACATACCACCTGACAATATGGGCAGTTAAGATAACCAAGAGACAGGAGTACTAGATTTGTACATCTCAAAGCTAAGGATCATGAGTTTATTTCAAGAGACGCCCTAGAAGAAAAATAACAAAATTAAAACAGCACTGAGACAAAGAACTTCCCTGCTATAGAATCTAGTTTCATAGTTCCTTCCTTATAATTAGGACAACCATACAATTATCAACTGTAATACTTCTGACAGTGAAAGGGAACACTATTACTAATTATGCCAGAACAACAGACATAAACTATGACTTGTCCCATGCAAACTGGAATGTACAGTCACCCTACTTACAGCTCACTTAATAGTCTACCTCTGGTCATGTTGATTCTTTCTCAAGGTTCATCAACAACCATTTCAAAAGGTATATTCACTTTCTTGCATACTTCTTTCCCTACTTACCCAAAAAAATAGGAAGAATATGAAAATTATCCTCTGGGAATTCTAGCTCTATCCAGTTTAACATTACCTACCTGACAAAATCATCATCTAAAGTTTACCAATTATTTGATGAACATGTGACATGCAGGAAAGAATAGTAAGCATTACCAAAAATAAAATTTCAGCTCACTGATTAAACATTAAACAAAACAAAATAAAACTAAAAGAACTGAAAAATCAAAGCATACAAGTTTGTTGTGAAATCCCTAGAAGCAACTTCTATTTTAGAACTAGGGCACTATGTTAGCAGTACTTACATAGATCAGAAGTAAAATAGATTTTACCTTGGGAACTCTGGGAGGACTCCGTAGAAGAGGAACTACTATCTGTATAACTTTGTGGTTCTTCTTTTCCTTCCTGAATAGATGAATTACCAGCCTCTGCTACCCTGGATGCTTGCTGTAATGTTTCTGTTACTAGCTGTCTTGTTTGTTCACTAACAACTGTGGCTTGAAATGTCACTGGTTTGGGTTTAATGAGAACCTAGAAGAAAAGCAAAAATATATCCAGGTGAAATTTTAGAGCACTATTTAAAATGCTAAACTTCTAGGTCACAAAATATTTTTCTGGGACAGAAAACAGTATTCTGTATATTTATTATGCTTTGGGCACAGTATTATTCATCAAAGACTAAAATTCAATCTACAGACAAATTACAGTTAACCACAGACAAAATTTTAAGTGGTACATACCAGACTGCAACAGCCATGATTCTGACAATAGCCTTTGTGCCTGTTTTTGCTGGCCTATAATGACTTCGAAGTCATTTATAACCTGTTAACTGTATAGTAGAATGACAGCCAAAAGCTGAGGATGACAGAACAAAAAGACAAAAGAACCCAGATTCCCAACGGAATTTCTGAGCTGAAATATCAGTCTAGAACTTTTTTCCTCTGAACTTTTATTAATATAATAAAAATGAAGCCCTAATCTGCTTAAGCCAGTGTTCTTCAAGTTCCTTTTCATTAGGAACCAAATGAAATTCTTAACTGACACACCTGCATAACAGTAAACTTACTTGGAATCTAAGTAATCTTTGAAGAAACCTCAGAGGAACACTGATTTAGACTTGTGGTCCCCAATCCCCAGGGTCATGGACCAGTACTGGTCTGTGGCCTGTTAGGAACCAGGCCACACAGCAAGAGGTAAGCAGCGGGCAAGTGAAACTTCATCTGTATTTACAGCCACTCCCCATTGCTCACATCACCACCTGAGCTCCACCTCCTGTCAGATCAGTCACTGTCTCCCATCACCCCCAGATGGGACCATCTAGTTACAAGAAAATAAGCTCAGGGCTCCCACTGATTCTGCATTATGGTGAATTGTATAATTATTTCATTATATATTACAATGTAATAATAATAGAAATAAAGTACACAATAAATATAATGTACTTGAATCATCCCCAAATCATCCCTCACCCCCACCCCTGGTCCATGGAAAAATTGTCTTCCATGAAACCAGTCCCTGGTGCCAAAAAGGTTGGGGACCGCTGATTTACACAACTATCAGAAGCAACATGGAATATGTGGTGGATCAACTACTTTTGCAAAAGTCAAAATCACAAACACTGAAACAAGTGAAATGGGAGAACATTTTCAAACTGGACCTTTCCACTTAAAAATCTAAACTCTAGGATTTAACTTTAATTGAGTTAACTTCGATTGAATAAAAATGTTAACTCACCATAATTATTTTTATTTCTATATATACATAAGATTCTAAACCTTTCTGGACTCTATTAAATCACCCATTTCTAAGAGTTCAAGAATAAAAAAATGGTTACACCAGCTTAGATGATGGAGCAAATGAATTTGTTACAGTTGAACTCAATAGGCAATGTGAACTTGTAACAAAACTTATGTTTTAGATATGTAAACTATTTGGCTACAATTCTGAAGGAACAGATTCTGAAGGCAAATTATTAGTTTATAGGTAAATTAACACCTTTTATAAAACTTCTAGGATAGTATTTGTTAACTAAAGCTGATACTGCTTCCTGTGACATTCTCAGGAAAACAGTTAAAGTACCTACAAAATAATTACTAGCCTAGCAATGTATGATTAAATCCCGAGCCTCATATTCCTAGGCAAATATTCAGAAAAGTTCCTTTATCTTCTATTGGTTGATAAAATGAACACATCTCTAGCTTCTCCATTATGTAGGGTTCAAGTAAATTTTATAAGTAAATAAAATGCTTTTGAAGGCTATGTTAGCTTATGAAAAGTAATATTTTTTGAGAGATTACAAATAACTATCATCCTCCCTCAACCAACCACTCCGCAAATAACAATATACATCTTCAAAAAATTTTATTTCAAAGGGATTCTTTCCCACAATCTTTGCTCATAGAATAACACAAATATTTAGACATTTTAAAAAAGTACTGTCAAAACACAAGTTTTGACAACAGAAGAGTAACTGTACACATTCAGTCATAATTTTTAATAATCTGATTTTTTTAAAGAATGTTCATCTTTCCCTTCAAATTCCTACCTGGAAATTTTAGGAATTTAAAATATGTAAGAGCCCAGAAAAATCACCATATCTTACAGCATACCTGTGTTTTACCTTGCTGCCCATAAACAATTTTTGTTGGGATGATTTTAGCTGCTGGTTGAACTGTGGAACCTATTGCTTTTGGCTGAGTGACAATCATTTTGGTGATGGGTCTTGTAGCAGTGATGATAGCTGGCTTTGCTCCTGTTGGCACCGTCTGAATAGTCTTTTCTCCCTAAATTGAAGTCAATGATTATATAAGAGATTTGTATGCATTTAAAAGATAAAAACTGTCCTCACTGAAAAATCAGAGAAAGGTTTTACCAGGATGATAGGAAAAGAACCAGAGATTATATAACAAAGTATGATGTTTCTTGGTGATCAAAAATCCTACACTTAGTTGAAATTATCTTACTGAAAGTCATCTGACCAACTTTCTACCTAAAGAAGGAATTATTTCCTGATGAGTGAATTTTCTAAAATTACCTCATGTAAGAATATTTATTATACATTCATAGAATATATATATTAAAATAGAGTCAGAAAACTCCGGAAGAATATACAGTCATCTGTTAAAAATGTTTATCTCTAAGAGTTGGGATTATAGGTCTCATCATCCACACTTATCTTTATTTTCTAATTTATCTTAAATGAATATTTATGTAATAAAAAATTACTATGCAATATACCAGTAGCTAAATGTACACACACAAACTCCCTTAGTCCCACATACTATAAAGATATATATATAGCAGAATGTCTATGTGAAAAAGTATGGGCAAGAGATAAAATCGGCACAGATTTTAACATCCTTTCTAAGGTTATATGGAAAAAAAGGAAGGAAAAATTCGGAGTGCTTCCCATGTTTTACTATTAATATATTACTAATATCACTTTAGTCTATCAACTAGATAGCTTAAGCCCATTAACTTTTCACCATTTTCTACACTTTCACCTGCTTTATTCATCAGTACCATTTTCTGGTCATTCATGGACTCGACATCTTTTTACTTGAACTTAAAAAAATTAAATTCAAATACAGTGATTTTACTAAATTATGAAAATTTTAAAAATTAAAATGGAAATGAAAGGATCTGAGAATTTTTACCTCATCAGTTTTTCTTAATTCTTAGCTATCATCATCTAAAGGTGTGGCCATCTAAACTTAGCAGCCAGTAAAAACAAAGCACCCAGGTGAGCTGGCTAAAAAGTAATCACTGTGAATTTAGAGCTAAACATGATTATAAAAATCTAAGTTTAATTATCTGCTGTAATTATCTCGGGAAACTTGAAGTGTCAGCCAATTGTGTTATTACTTACTTTGACACACACATACTGTTCACAGCAGCATCTCTGGAAAGAGCTCTAGTTCATTTGCCAAGAGCCACTAGTTTGCAAGTAAGCATGCCTATTTATTAAATAGCTCGATGGGCCCTGCCCAAGTATGATAACCCATTCAAAGCAGCCAAACAAAACCACTAGCAGGCTGTTTTTTGAAAAAGCTCTTCTGATGTGTGTTGTGGGCATGCACAGGTGAACAAGTGGTAAATACAGTTGCACATGCCTGTGTGGTGAAGAAGACGGTCTTACATGCTGATCTGCTTGTTTTACTAGCATTGCCTGTATCAAATTGTTGTTATCAGATATACCTAGCAGCTATGATTCACATGTGACTCTTAGATCTTTCTAACCATAAGGGTCTAGAGTACAGGGCATCCTCTCTTAAATATCAAGTTATATGAAACTGCAAACCACATTATAAAGAGTTCTGAAAATCTTAATTCTAATCTTGGCTTTTCTGTTGGCTTACTATATAAATTCAGGCTATGAATAATCTATTTTTCCCAAATGTTGAAAAAAATCTAATGCTGGATTCCTACCAACATTATAAAGACAGTGATGCATAAGAAGCTTTTATGAGATCTACTTAAATGAAGTATAGCATTCCATTTTCTTTTCTTTTCTTTTTTTTTTTTTGAGACAAGGTCTCACTCCGTTGCCAGGCTAAAGTACAGTGGCCTAATCATAGCTCACTGCAACCTCGAACTCCTGGGCTCAAGCAATCCTCCTACCTCAGCCACCCGAGCAGCTGAGACTACAGGCACACACCACCATGCCTGATTAATTTTTCTATTTTTTGTAGAGATGGGGTCTTGCTACGCTCCCCAAGCTGGTCTTGAACTCCTGGCCTCAAGCGATCCTCCCGCCTTGGCCTCCCAAAGTACTAGGATTACCTGTGTGAGCCACTGTGCCTGGCCTGTGATCTACTTAAATGAAATATAGCATTCCATTTTCAAGTGGTGTCAGGCAAGCCTAAACAGTTAAGTACCAAGAATAATAACAATAAGAAGAAAATCAATGGTTGAGGACTTCCTATGTACCAGGTACTGTTCTAAAAACTTTCAAAACAGCCACCAGTCACTGAATAACCTCATCATCTCCATTGTACAAATGAGAAAATTAAGAATGAGAGAAGTTGAGTAAGTCATTCAAGGTCAAACAACTTACAATACTGAAAGATGAAGCCCAGGTTTGTAACTACAAACCTCTTAACCTCTTAACAACTGCTTTCGGAAGTATAGACGGATCCATTATTTATTTGATTTTTTTTTTTTACTAGCTCAAAGAGGTAAAAATGAAAAAAATATAAAAGTAACAAATCTCTATCAATTATGTAGTCTTAATCCCAAATATTTCTTTTTGCCCAGCCTAGGCCAAACACTAGGCCAATATCTATTTACCATAAGCAGGAATAAAACTCTGCCCCAACAGAAGTCCTCCTGCAAGTTTAGCAAGTGGCATTCTCTATCTGGACCAAGCTAAGCATCTAAATCATGGTCATAAGCAACCTAGCTATGAGCAAGTATGAGGATCATATTTTAGAAATTACTGTGAAAAATGGCATCAGTTGGTGGTGCTTTAACAGTTATTATATCACAGTAGTGGTAAATCAAGCCATTCAGGCCATTGTGGGGTTTTGAAGTCCTTATGCAAATATTTGTATAGCTGGTCTTTAAAATCCACAGTGGATTGCTGAGTCTGCAGTTCAAGCTCTTACTTACTCCAGCATTTAGCAATGTTGTGACAACGTTTTTGCCCGGGAGGCCTTGAATGGTCGTTCCTTTTCCTGTAGTCTTTTGCACAACAATCACATTGGGCTTGGAAGTCATTGGGATTGTAGTAATTTTGGTAGTCGTTCCTTAGAGAAGGGGGAAGAAAAGGAGGCCTGAGTTAAGGACTAGTGATATTTGGTTATTTCTATTTAGGTTGTACACAATTAATACATGTAGTTGTAGTCAATGTCATCCCTAGATGACGTGAAAGCTGTCATGGGGAAGAAAATGAAGGCTTGAAATGGTAAGTTATAAGTCATCCCAGCATGAGAGAATATTAAGAATTGTCTCTTAAAGTAGTCATCTTTTTAGAATCTGAGGAGCTACATACCAAACTTAGAATCTAAAAACATCGCTATCAGTGTCCACATCAATATTCCTTTTCTAACTAGTTAAATTAAAAAATTCAAACTTCTATTTGATGTGTATCTGCCCCAAACTCATTATTGTATCTGTATGACTAGTGTGGTAAGAAAACTCTTCAAAAAAGAACGTAAGAAGTAAATATTTATCAAAATTCACACCAGACTAGACTCTAGAGAAAACTTATGAAAAGAAATAAACCATGTATTTTTGTGTGAATAAAATAGACAAAGTAAACACTGATACACAGACCAAGTCACAGATTCACTGTATGATTTTGTAATCTGCAGCACTCTGGAGAGTATAGGGGTAAAACTCATTTATATTTTCAAGCATTAAGATCTATCTAATGAGACATCTTGAGATCTATATGTACTGATTCAGACACATTATCTTGTTCTCTCCCCTACATCCTTCCATAATCTGCTTCTCCTCTATCCAATCTACTACCTATTAGATTTATGCTCCATATTCTCCTGATTGTCCAGGTTGGAAATCCTGGTACTAATCTTTAATTCATTCCTGTCTTAACTCCCTGTGGTCCCCAACAAAATCAAAGCCCCTTAAGCTCCATACTGTATCTTTGTCATGTCAATGATTCTTTGGTGCTTAGCTTAGTGGATGGCAATTACTCAATAACAGTTGTTCAAGTTTTTCAATGGGTATGTGAATGAACTCAATTTGTCACCAACATACATCCTATTTCAAAATGTTATCAATGACCCAACTGAAAAGCTTCATCTCCTTTCCCACACTGTATCCCTATTTCAAGTTTCTCCATCATGCAAATAGCTCTGGTGCTCCCTGTCATATCAAATACCCTAAAATAAACTAATTTTCCTAAGCCAAGAACTTGGAACATGTCAAATGGGTTTAAAACCTCCCTAATCCCTGTTTCCCTAGCTCCAGCTTCCCCTCTCCTGTTTCAAAATCCTACAAAATCTGGCCCTTAATCTACCAATTCAACCTAATTAGTTTCTACTCCACAATATACACCACAAGCTCTAGTCTAACAAATAACTTCATTATGGCTTTCCATTATCTACCATACAAAACCCAAACTCCTCTGCCTAGCTTTCCAAGTTTTGTCAGACTTTAATTTTTAGGATTATCCAACATACACCTCTTCTTCAGTATGTTGGTTTCCATATTGGTCCTTGAGTATAATAGTCCCAATGCTACCTTTGTTCCTATAATTTCCTGTGCTTATGAAAAAGGTATGCCATAGTCTTCTTCTACAGGCTTGTACATCATTTATCAATGACTAAGCACAGAATAGGTACTCAATAAAAACATGACTAATACATTCTCAAAAAGAAAAATTAAGCAAAATTGTATTATTTTCCACTGGATAACCTTAACAATCCTTACTAGAGTTTTAGAAATAAAATTATACCAAGAATAAGAATATTCTGTTATATGTTAATTCGGGCAATATTATTACAAAAATATCTTTATAATATATACTTGCTGTTATCCAATGTCTAATCAGTCCAAGCTAACAGACTCAGAATTTACATAAAAAGCACTTTTATCTATGACTTAGCTTTTACAACTGTTTTTCCCTTTATCTGTATTCTCTGAATAGCGACCTTTAAGAACCACAATAACCAAGCTGCCCATTATTCACTTATACCAACTATAACTCTTAATTAACTCCAATCCTTCATATGTGATTGACTGTGTAGAGATCTTTTGACACTGCAGCCTCACCAAATATTTGATTAATACAAAGTGTTTTTAGAAAGTAAGCATTAAAAACTACCTCAAACAAAATGTAAACCATGCTTTTAACTCTACACCAAAGTACAAAGACCACTTTTTCACAAAACTTGCTTCAAGTGAATTATATTTATATCAACTAAAATATCTAATCCCTTCCACAATGAAAGTTTGTAAATTTATGAGATAGTTGCAAAACAAGTCCACAGGCTTAAGAAAATGGGGTATAGGAGAATGTTAGAAAATAGAAGAAAAAGGAATAGCACAAGGAAAAGCAAGTCTAACACTATATCAAAATAAAATACAATTTATGACTAGAATTATCAATTATGAATGCCTGAAATTCCAGTGAGCATGTTTCTGTATCTCAGGGGATACCTATATTATACCGAAGAAAGAAGTATTACTCATTACAAAAAAAAAGTCATCTTTTATGCTTTCACAGTAGTTAGTCTATAATTCTCATGTTACAACAGAATTATACAAGTTCATTTGTTTAGTATTCTTCAGGACAGAGAATAAAACTCATGTACAACCCTATATATCACAGCACCTACCACGGTATCTAACTTATAGCAAATCAGAGAATCCACCTATATAGTCTTTACTTATAAAAGTCAAGACACAATGGGTACAAATAACTATGAATCCCATTTGGTTCACAACAGGCTATAATACTGATACATTCCAGGGATTCTTATTTTTAAAAAAGATGAGGGTGAAAGTTTGGATATTATGGTAGGTAGGCTTACAGAAGAACACAAATTTATTGATTCAGATTTACTATTCAAAGATTCTTAAATCACCTAATAATTTTGATCTCTTGTGCAATGTTTTATGTTGCTTTGCTCAAAGAATGAATGAATGAAAAAGTATCCTTGACTGGACACAAGAGAATTAAAATAAAGTCCTGCCATTGTCATGCCTTCAGAGTCAAGATAATGAGATCACTTCTGAAGAATCCAATCTTCTGCTAAAATGGGTATGATTCTTCAATCAACCCTCAACAAAGCTCACAACAAAACCTATAAATCTCATACATACACATATAAATAAATATTTGACTCTGTTAAGATGTGAGTTAACTATAAAGATAATCATGGCTTCCACTTAATTGCTTATTCTAATAAAAAGAAAAATTTGACCTTTCTAGAAAGTACTTTGGAAGCATTAACTTGCCTTCTAGGATATTATACAGAGGAATTAAGAACTTTACAAAATAATTTATGTATAATAGTGTTCATTACATGATTATTTATAATGACAAAAAAAAACACAACCCTATAAGCAACCTAAAACATTCGACAGTAAGAAAATGGTTAATGAATGGTACTTCATATGAGAGAATATTATGTAACCATTGGAAGAGATGTCAAAATACATTTACTAGCATGAAAAAAAAAATCAATATTACTATATGAAAAAAGGACAAAAACTAATTAGATCCCAATTTAATTTTTAGAATATACATATATATACACAAACCCATTTATACAAGTGAATAGAAAAAATGAAAAGAAATATACCTAAATTTTAATGCATTACTATAGATGGTAAAAATCATAGGTTTTAAATTTTCCTTGTACCTTTCTGTATTTTCCAAATTCCCCCAAGATGTGGGGGAAAGCTTTTTTTTTTAAGTCTTCTATTCTCACAGATAGATGTTTGAGTATATTTTAAGAAAAGTATTTGTTTTTTGTTTGGAGGAGAGGGGACTCTAGAATCCAGCATCTATTCACGGATGAAGGTAGAAAACCATCTAAATTCATTCAACCAGGCTTATCAGTTTACTATAAATAGACAATAGGGATTAAAAAACTATTATACTAATAAACTAACCTATAATTCCAGTATCATGGACCAACGAGAATATTATAAATAAGAAAACTGTCTTTATAAAGAGAATAGTGATGTAACATAAAGATCAGGTTACAGCAAGCAGGAAGAAGAGAAGTTCTTTGAAGTGTCAAACAGGGAAGCAGAGGTAGAGACAAAATGAGCTCCATGCAATGAATAAAGTTGTTTTAACTGCATGCCAAGTATATCTTATAGTGCTGGAGAAGTTTAAGAACTCTTCTTATGTATATGTGTGCACTTGAAATAGCAACTAACCATGAATGGTTTTATAACTAAATACAAAGGTGGATAATATGTATATTCATATAGGATATATATCTCAGATTCCATCTCTGCTTATAGGAAAATGTGCTTTTGTATTGCTCTGACCAGGTACAAAGTAACTACATTATGAATAAGGTCTGAAAACAGAGGCTTCATGATATCTAAACATTCCCTCAAGCTATATGGTACTCTAAATTCATATATATAAGCAAAGAAAAACCCTTAAGATCATAAAAAGCTACCTACCAATAAAAAACATGATCACTTTTTGATAAATGTTTAAGTGCTTTATACTAAAGATATTGTCAAGTCATAAATTATAATTTAAGATTTAACTGTGTTATTTAAAATATTCTCTTAAAAGCCAGAGTACGATGATTCTTTCCCTACTGGTTTCACCCTCCTCAGTCTGGCAAACATTAGATTTTCTCACTTACACTTAAAAGTGGAGCCAAAATTAACAGCTTTAAATATAGTGCTTTATGCCAATACCATGCCCAGCTTTGGTTTTTTTTTTTTTTTTACTCCCTATCAGCAACATCAAATTACTGCCAGGAATTTCAAACCCTTGACTTTAATATGTTAGAACAACTCACCTGGGGCATATGACTAGTCTACAAAAATAGTAGACAGTTAAAGTCCATAAGGCTTGCTTAATCAGAGTTTATTTACATCATTATAATTAAAAAATAATAATCAATGAAAACAGATGCCATGTTAGGGTCCACAACCCAAATACTGCAGGGATTAATGAGCCAATAAAACCCAAGTATGGTTCCAATATACCAATAAACAGGCAGATGGTTAGCCTTCACTACCTGAATAAAATATTTTTAAAAAGCAAACAATTAACATAAATGGTGAAAAGCAAATAAAGATATTCAAGTATTTTTATTTTTAATAAGCTAAAGTGACATCAGTAATTGAAATTAGGAGATATGTTCCTCAAACATATTTAAATGAACAACTACTACTTCTTCCACTATTTAGCTTATATGGTCTTGGACAGGTCAATTTGATCTCTCTAAACTCAAATCTGTCCTCATTTGTAGATGTGGCACAATGCCAACCACCTCAGAGTTGTTACGGGGTCTGAATGGATTGATAAATGAGAGAATGCTTTGCAAATGAAAAATCTCTATGCAAATATAAACCATAATCTTTCCATTCTGATTAAAAGCAACTAAATGGTCTTTCTGTTTTAGAACTATCAAAGCTTGATATGTGAATATTTAATATTAAAACTGAATACTATACTTAATCACTAAATATAAGGACTAAAAACAAAGCTTTAGGTTTCTAAGCAGAAAACTGAGATCAAACAGAATCCTTCCATAGTGAAATATGTTTTTTCCTCTCACTGAAGGCCATCTATACTTTTAATATATTTCAGATATACCTACCAGACACTATATTACTGCTAATTATCTTGCCCCCCAAGGTAGCTAATGATTTGGGTACTACTGTAATGATGCTACCACTGGTAGTTTTCACATAGGTTGCAGCTCCAGGGGTTGCAGCCATCCGACCTATGGATGGGCTCACTGTTGGCCGAGTATAGGTTGCTTGTGTGCCTATAAAAAGGGAAAAGCCAAAAGAAAAACTTGTCATTACTCATAGAAGAATGATAATTTATGCAGTTTAAGTATAATTTAATACAATCTACAATGCTTTAACTTGAAAATGGAATTTCAAGGTGTCAAGACAGTAATTTATATTTTTACAGTCAGTTTTCAACACACATAGCAAGTACTATAGCCAAGTCAATTTAAATTAATTTTACACATAAAATTTTGTGATGTGTTGCATCAAATTACTAACCCAAGAAAAAGTACAGCTAAGTCTATTCCCTTCTTTCACTACCCTTCTTCCACTAGTTTTATGCCAAAAGAAACTTAAATTTAATCATCTTTCCTGCCAGAGCATTTTAGATATTTGTTATAGATTTAAAGGTCTCTGCATCTGTTTTATGCTGTCTCAGTGCCAAACCCAGTGTCAGCACTCAGCAAATAAGGCAGTATTGTTCGCTTAAAATTTTACAAACTTTTACTGTTTTGTACTTTGCTACCCTCTAAATATATTTCCATCTTTTACAGGGTTATTCCATCATTTTAGTAGAGATTAAAGTTGAAGCTGCCAGGAGTTGCCAGGAATATTTCTCTTTAGCCTAAAATGTTCTCTATTTACATATTTCCTCAACTTTAACTGACCTGCTTAGGATATTTTTCTTCATGTCTCTTAAAAGATTTTATACCTTTTCCCACTATTTCTAAGACTTTTCTCTTTTCCCAAACAGGAATTAAAAACTAACTAGAAGAGTCTGTTGTCGTTTCTTATAAATTCAGTAACTCAGAAAGACTATTCCTAAACTGGGAATTAATAGCCTTGGGAAGAATGAAAAAAAACGACTAAGATAACACCTTCTTCTATTGAAAATAATTTTTTCATAATAATTAGATTCAGAGGCCACTGTGATAGCCATTTCCAACAACGCCCCCCCAAATGCTTTTATCAAGTTATTTATCATTTAAAAATACAACTACTATTTCTAAAAGGGAGGAGGAAAAGACCATTAAGTAGAATTAGTTTAAATTGGTTACAAGGATACATCTGAATCAGAAAATCTAGTGCAAAGTAAATAGCTACATGGATTTATAGTTTGAATCTGCTGAATTATAACTGAAAAAAATTTCATATTAAGCTTTTGTCTTAAAACCACTTATTCTAATATAGACTCGTAAACATAGACACATTACTTTCCACTACCTTTATATACACATGAGGAATCATATATCTATAACACTACTGTCTGTGCCAAATGGAGAAATGATTGGGGGAAACACTATAAATTTAATACAATAATAACAGTGTTTAAAAGCACATGCTTCACATACAGAAAGTAAAATAATGGTTGCTAGGGGATAGGGAAAGTGGGGGAATGAAGAGTTATTGTTTAATGGGTACAGAGTTTCATTGTGGGAAAATGAGAAAGTTCTAGATAGGGTGCTGATGGTTGTGAAACAATGTGAATGTACTTAATGCCAATGAACTGTACACTTGAAAATGGTAAATTTTATGTTATGTATATTTTACCCCCCTTCAAAAAAAAAAAAGAAAGCACAGGTTTTGGAGTCAAATAGATTTGATAGGTTCAAACCCCGGTTCTGTCTCTTTTTGACTATGTGAACTTGGGCAAGTTGCTTAATGCCAAGTCACTGAAAATGGAGATGATAAAACCTAAAGGAGATTAAATGCAATGTTTATACAGCTCTTTACATTCTGGCCAATAAATGACAGCTAATAAACCTGAGGCAGGTATCATTTTACATTATTTAAATTCTGTCATCTAAATACCTGCCCTCGAAAAGTTTGATTAAGAGTTACACATATTTAAAGTAATAGTAATGGCTAATTGTAATATTAATAGTAATAGTTATTGAGCACTATGCTAGGGACTTTTTACATACCTGATTTCATTTAATACTTATGGCATAGGTATCTCATTTAAATAGACGAGGAAAAAGATTTAGAGAGATTAAGTAACTTGCTCAAGGTCACGAAGGGTGGTATTATTTAAAATATTATACACCGTCACTTCCTCCAGCATAGGCTGATTACTCTCCTATCTAGGCACAATGGCATCCTGTGCTTCCCTCAGTCTCATAGTAATGCTTACTATACCACAATGTAATAAAGACTCTCAATCTCATCAGAGTGAGATCCTTGGGGGTTGGGTCTATTTTTATTCATTTCACAAATCCTAAGTGAGTACCTACTTACCGACCAGCTCTACGTAGATATGGCAAATAAAATAAATATGGTCCCTTACCCTCATAGAACTTATCATCTGATAAGGAGAAGAACATAAACCAATCAACAAACAACTAGCTAAGTAACTAGAAATCGTGTTAAGTGCTATAAAGGAAAAGAACAGAAAGCTAATTTCAGGGCAGTGGGGGCACGAGAGTCAAGAAAGCCCTCTTTGAAGAATTGTCTCATTAATCTCTATATCCCCAGTGTCAAGCCTACTGCTGGTACAGAAAAATTGTTTGATGAATATATGAAAAATGAATGAACCGATGCTCACGGGAACTTACCAGTAGGAGTGGTTACCAGTTTAGTTGTCATAATTGCACCATTACTGCTAACCACCATAATAGGGGAATTGCTACTGGTGGGTAGAGTTGCTGTCACTGGTTTGGGTAGGATTTTACTTGGCTGAACCTGTTGTGTGATGATTTTAACACCTTTCAAAGAAAAAAGATAGATCTCAGTACAAATTATTTTTAAAAACATGTCCCTTATATCAACCCAAGAGGGCAGCAGTCACACACAGTTACTCAGTCTTGCCTATAGAGAAGCTTTTTTCATATTGATGAAACTCTGTAAACTTTAATTCTTCAAATTCCTGTCTTTCCTAATTTCTCTCATTTTAGGAATGTAACTAAAACATTACATTAACAGAGTTTTTAAAGAAAAAAAAATCTTTTCTTTTGTCTATATGTCATGTAAGAGCTTTCAAACCAAAGTTATCCATCGGCCTTGAATTTTTACAAGCAAATAAATACAAATATTTAGGATGAAAGGACTAGCATAAGAAGTCAAAAACAAAAGTTCATGTAGCTTTTGTGTATACCCAACTCCACCAAAGATTTTTCACAACTCGTTAAACTTAAATAAAATCTGCTAAAAACTATTAAAGACCAAGAACATGTTTTGTTTGAATTCTTAAATTGTCTTCTTCTGAAAGTACTTTTAACAGCTCACTTTGACAAATACAGAATGCATAAAAGATACACTATTATTGCACCTACACAAAATATGCATGTGGACAAGAACTTGAGGGCAATATGCAAAAATAAAATAAAAATGTTAGGGTAGTGATGTTATGATGTTTTTTAATTTTCAAAATTTTTATTTAAAATGCCATAATTGTTACACTGACTATCCAAAATGTAAATATTCCATTAACAGAAACTTCTTATGCTAACTACAGCTTTAAGTACTAATATTAATTGGTAACTAAGGAAGGGAATTTTTGGTAACACTTTTCCCCCACTACTATCTTCAGCGAAATAATTCATGAGAATTATTTCAAACTATATTGCTATAGACAACTAAGAATTATACTACTTTTTAGATGGTGATGTAGATTAAGACATTAGGAACCAAATAGAGTACTTATTTAATAGCTTTAAATAATCTGAAACTTCTTGTTGCCAACAAAGAAGTTAAAATTATGACATTTAGGTATAATTAGACAAGTTGCATAATCACTCTGACTCAGTTTTCTCGGCCATAAAATAAAGATACTACTAGCATATACCTCATAGGCTGTCATGAAGATTAAATAAATCAAAATTGTAAGGTGCCTAATGTACAGTAAGAATTCAATATATAATTATTTTGGAAGTTTGGAAATTCTGATTATAATAAATCATAAACAGTGAGGTTGTAGGAGATAAAATGATATTTAGTATTATTTCATTAACAAATCACAATAATGCTTAAAGCACATATAAAAAGAAGGCCCTAAAGAAATAACCACAGACATAGAAAAAAAATAAGAGAATCAGAAGACTACTTTGCTCAATTATATGCAAATAAGTTTAAAATCTGGAACAAACAGGTAATTTTCTAGGAAAATATTATTTATCAATATTGACCCCAGAAAAGAGAGAAAATGTAAAACAGACAAATTTCCATAGAAAAAAATGTTGAGAGCTCCACCCCTTTGCCAAAAAGTTGCAGGCCCAGATACTTGCACATGAGAATTCTACAGTCCTTTTAAAAGAAGATAATTTTAATGTACTTAAAAACCACTCCAGAGATTGATTTCTGGCACGGCAGCATGAGGAGCTCTGCTACCTCCTAACCCAGCGAAACTGGTGAAAATTATAAAATGACCACCATTGAAAGGCTCTGGAAACGGTTACAAGGGCAAAGAGCAAATGAAACAATCTACTTAAGAAAACCTACAAAAATTCAGTAAGAAAGGCAAGATCTGTAATATTTAAACCAAAACTGTTTCTTCTTCCCCACTACCAGCTCAGCAAGAGGGAGGCTCCATTCCAGATGGCTTCCATCGAGAACACAGGGTTGCTTTTCTCCCCTCCAGCTCCCAGTTGAAGTGCTTTCTTCCCAGGAGAAACAAGACTTCATATTATCTCATCCTGCCTCCAGATACCTGTTGCAAAGGCTAAATTCCCAGCAAGTACAGTAAAGAGGTGGGATCTCCCTTATTCTGCCCAGCCCCCAATTTGTAGACAAAGGCTCTACCTTGGGCACAGCACCACTGAGAATACTGGAATACTGACTACAATTTCCCTGGCTTGTGAGGCAGTGGTTCCACCACCAGGAAAGGCAAGATGAGAGGACCTGAGGTTGCTGCCCAAACCCTCACCCCTACCTGCACTGAGTACTCAGAGTCTCAAGCAAGGATATCACACAGAGATAAGTTTGCCACTGAGCCCACCCCTAGTTTCAGAGCCCTGGCTCAGAGTCTTTGCCTGAGAATACAAACAGGTCATAAAATAGACAGCTTTTAATCTCTTCCCAAAGGACCTGACTTCATGGAGCATGGGGACGTTCAAGCATAAGGGCATTCTCAAGAACACAATGGAAGATGTGGTGACAGGTAATCGGAAGGAGATTCATAAATGTAATGAAGATACAATGTAGACTATAGGCAGACAGTTTATAGGTGAGAAGCAGAGAATAAGAAAGCTGGAAGGAGCTTCCTGGGGTCAAAACAAATATCGGAAATGAACTCCAGAAACTACTCCTTCAAGGGACCCAAAATTTGGACTAGTTTGTAGAGTAATTTATGTTCCAGGGCATTGCTAAAAACAATTCTACTTGTGTACAAAAGGAAGGGAAGTGTTAAGAATCTTTCTTTCTGAATTCCTGGCCTTAAAGGATCCTCCCACCTCAGCTTCCAAAAGTACTAGGATTACAGGTGTGAACCACCAAACCGGGCCAAGAATCCATATTTAAATTTGCTTATATATGTAGAAATATCTATATATATTTCTATACATAAAATATATAAGAAACTAAGACTTTTTTTAAATGGTGAGGGAGAACTACACAGATAAAGGACAAAGATAGAGGACAAGTTATCCACTGTTCAACTTTTTATACTTTTCAGTTTTTGATGAATATATTTTCTATTCAAAAAATAAAATAAAATGTAATAATTGACTCATGAATAAAAATGGAACCAATACAGACCTTAGAAACTCGAACCTTGCAGAAACAATGTATTATACATTAACCAACATTAGGTATACTAAAAGCTCCCTTTTTTATTAGAAAGGTAAAATTATTTCAAATATAGAATAATATGTGGTGAAACAGTCAGCTGTGATAAGTAACAGATATATATTGTAATACCATAAGCAAACACCAAAATAACAGAACAAACAATATACTTAAAAATAATATAAATAAATCAACATGGAATCCTAAAAATTTTTCAAGTAAACCATAGGTAGGCAAGAAAAGAGAAACAGAGGAATAAGAAATGGAAGAGAAAAACAGAAAAATAATAAAACAGCACACTTAAGCCCTACCATAGCAATCATTACCTTAAATGTAAGTGATCTAAATCATTTAAAGGATAAAAACTGGCAATGTGAATACAAAGACACAGCCACACTATATGCCGTGTACAAGAAACTCACTTCAAGTACAATGACATAAGTAGTAAAAGGATGGGAAAAGATATACTATGTGAACATGAATCAGAAGAAAACAGGAGTGGCCATATTAATTACAGATAAAATAGACTTTAGAAAGCAACAGAAAACTCACTGCATCCAATCAAATTGATACCTAGCACGACTGAAATCACTTTAGTTCTCTAACATGAACTAAAATATACTAATGCAGGCTAGTTATCATAGTTACCACCATTTAGTTTACATAGCAAACTTTCCAAATTGAAACTGGAATTAAATTTTAAGAGTGGAAATAAAGTATCAGCCTTTATATTAATAAAAAAAAGTAGACTAGAACAAAGAAAATTACTGGAGAAAAAAGGACCTACATAATGAGAAAGGACTAACGTAACAGGAAGATATAATGTTTCTAAATATGTGTACATCAAACAACAGATGCATGGAAGTAAATGAAGCAAAAACTAAGAAGTTCTTTTGGGAGCATCGAAGTCCTACAGTTATAGTTGCAGACTTTAGTTCCTTACTCTCACCTACGGATGGAACTACTACACAGAAAATTCAGCATGGATATAGGAAAACTGAACAACATAATCAACAAACAGGATCTAATTGACACACATATATAGAATATTCAATCCAACATCAGCAGGATAGATATTTTTTCAAGCACCATGGAACACTCACCAAAGTAGACCATATTCTGGGCCAAAAACCAAATCTTGATAAATTGAAAAGAATTGAAATGACAGAGTATGTTCTCAGACCATAATGGACTCAAACTAGAAATCAACAGCAAAAAAGATCACAGAAAAATCTCTAAATTTGGAAATTAAACAACATAATTCTAAATAATCCATAGGTCAAAGAACTCTCAAAGGAAATTTAAAAACACATTAAAGTGAATGAAAATGAAAATACAACATATTAAAATATGTGGAAAGCAGCAAAAGCAGTGCTGAGAGAAATGCATCACAAATATATTTATATAGATGCAGATGTAAATGCTAACAATGTCCTTAGAAAAGAGAAAATGTCTTAAATCAATAATAATCTAAGTTCCAACCTCAAGAAACTAGAAGGGCAAAATAAACCCAAAGAAAGCAGAAGGAAGAAAATAAGAAAGATAATGAAATTGAGAATGGAAAAATAATAAGATCAATGAAACAAAAATCTAGTTCTTAAAAAAATTTAATGAAATTGACAAACCTTTAGCAAGTCTGACAAAAAAAAAAGAGAAGATACAAACCACCAGTGTTAAAAATGAAATAGGGGACATTAATAGAGATCCTGTAGCCATTAAATGAATAATAAGGAACTACTACAAATTTACACTCATAAACTTTTAAACTTGACAACTTAGAAGAAATGGAGCAATTCCTCAACCCACAAAACTAATAAAACTCAACCAAGATGAAACAGAAAATCTGAATAATTCCATAACCATTAAAGAAACTGAATTCATAAATTAAAAGCTTCCAAAAAAGAAATTTCCTGGCCCAGATGGTTTCATTAGAGAATTCTAGTAAACATTTAAAGAATTAACACCAATCTTACACAATCTATTCCAAAAGAACAGAAAAGGAAGGAACACTTCTAAACTCATTTTATGAGGCCAGTATTATTATGATACTAAAACCAGACAAAGACAATACAAAATAAGAAAACTACAGACCAAAATCCCTCATGAAAGGAGACACAAATTGAACCCAGCAATATATTTAAAAAATTATACACCATGAGTAAGTAGAATTTACTGCAGATATGCAAGGCTGGTTCAGCAGAAAAATCAATCAATATAATCCAGCTTATCAACAGACTAAACAAGAAAAAACATATCATCATGTTAATTGAACAGAAAAAGCATTTGACAAAATCCAACAATCATTCGTAATACAAACTCCCAGAAAACTAAGAATGAAGGGCACTTCCTCAACATGATAAAAAGCATCCCCCAAAAACTTACAGCTGCCATTATACTTAACGGTAAAAGACTAAATGCTTTCTCAAGATCAGGAACAAGGCAAGGATGTCCACTCTCCTCACTCTTATTCATTCAACATAGTATTGGAAGTTCTAGCCAGTATAGTAAGACAAGAAAAAGAAATAAAAGACATATTGATTGGGAATGAAGAAGTAAAATTCTCCCCTTTTACAGGTAACACAATTCTGAACATAGAAAATCCCAAGAAATCTATGTAAATACTCCTAGAACTAGTAAGTGACTTCAGCAAGGTCAAAGGGTACAAGATCAACACTATATTTATATACCAACGAGAAACATATGGAAATTGAAATTAAAATCATAATACCATTTATAATCACTCCAAGAAAATGCAACACTTAGGTATAAATGTAGCAAAACACATACAGGATTTTTATGCTGAAAACTAGAAAACACTGATGAAAGAAGTCAAAGAAGACCTAAATAAATGGAGAGACATACAGTGTTCATGGACTGGAAGACTCAGAGAACTGGTGATTGGGAAGAATTACCACATCTTGTAAACATTTTCCAGTTACCTGACTCCTGTTTGATCTGGATGGTAGGTTTGATACCAGGTGGCAAAGGAGACTGCTGAGGCTGTTGCTGATGGGACACTGGAGAAGGCTGGGCCACTTGTTGCTGTGTCTGTTGTTGCACTTGATGTAACTGCTGCTTAGGAGACTGTTGATGCTGTTTAGGGAACTGTGCAAGAATCTGAGTTGGGGCACCCACTAAGTTTTTGGGAGAAGGAAGTCTGGTTGATGCCATTTTGATTGCTGATGTAGACACACCTGCACAAGAGTAAGGGAAAAGAGAATTTGAAAGGCAAGCATAATTAAAGTTACTTCTGGTTATTATACTAGATAATAGTTTAAAGGCTAAATCAATAAAAACTATGATTTATTGAATACCTAGTAAGTGTCAGATAAAATGTGTGGTTCTTTGCATATTTGATATCTAGTGACAAACTCTGCAAGGGAAGCATCATTGCTCTCAGATTCAAAAATTGAATTGATTTTCCCTAGGTGAAGAGTTAGAATGAAAGAAACAAAATATCACACGTGATGTTCCCGGACCTGTTTCTCAACAGATTTATTTAAGAAAATGTAGGTTCTCAATGTGAATAATGTAAGAATAAAGTACATTTATTAATTTTTGAATCTTATTTATAAGTAATACATTTTTCAAATATTATTTTTCAGGTTCCAATCAATTTAAACATGACATCAGATAAAGTAACACACTTAAACACTCATCTTCTGAATTATTTAGCAAGGTAAATAGTTTTTCTATATCTCATTTCTAATAATCTATAAGATAAAGTCATTTCTTGAAACTTCTAACTGGTTCAGTAAATAATCACGTGAAAAATTTTTATATCTATAGCAAAAAAATTCTGATGATAAGGTCCTTTTCAGTGCAATGCTAATATTAGAAAGCATACATAGATAAGAAGTACTAGTAACTTTCACTAAAGATGTATGAGTTTGAGAAATTCTTTCTTCTCTCAGATTTTTCATCTATAATTTTTTTTTGTAATTAATCAACTATCCAACAGGACTATTATCTGTCCATGAGTTAATAAGTTAATATTCCTAACAGAGAGAACCTGGAATATAACTCATCATATTTACTTTTTAAGCACTGCTGAAACAATGAAAAAAATTAATAGCCTAATTCTCAAGTACTTAGGATGTTTTTTTCACACCTTCCTCTACCAAATTCTCACCATGACAAATATACTCACTGTATTACAGAAAAATTTTAAATACAAATATCACATTCTTATGTCTCTAGAGAATGATAAAAATAGAGAAGGATAAACCTTGAGAATACAGTCTGATTCTCTAAGGCCTCAGCTTCCTCATTTGTTGAATTTTTCTTTTGCCCTCTAAAAGTTGTAGTGTGGATCAAGTAAGATCACAGATTGAGGAACACTTTGAGGAGACAAAAAGTGTAGTCAGAATCACCTGTAGGGCTTACTCACATTACTTACATAGTTCCCCACCTCTCCCACCCCAACCCCTCCTTGAATACCAGTGCAGCAGGGAGCCTTTTTGGTGCTATATATGTTCTGTATTGCTTAGTCTTGCTGAACTGAACTCTCTCTGGAGCCCCTTTCAGAGCTAACATTTTATGACTCAATGAGTATAAAGTGTTATACAAGTAAAAGATATTATTTTTAAACTATTTAAAAGCTTTAACCCTTATATTGTACTCATAATGTATGGTCTTATATTAATTGAAGCTAACTGTGCACATGGGTAACTCTCTAACTAAACTATGATCTCCATATACTTTTGTACAGGAAAAATATCTGATGTAAAACTATACAAGGTTACTTTAGAATCAGAGAATTGTACTTAAGCCATGCTTCAACACATAAACACATAATAGCTATGTGATCTGATTAAAGTACTTAATCTCTCTGAAAATTCATTCAATAAAAATTTATTAAGTACATACTTTATATGCTAGATCCTAGGGAAACTATTTTGTACCCATGAAACAGTGCTTACCTTCAGGAAGGTTAAAATTTAGAGTAGACAATCACATGATCACACATGTCTATCATTACAAACTAATAAATGTTACTTTTATTTTAACAAGTACAAAGTCCTCTTCCTCTTCCTTTGCCCTTAGCTTCCCAAAGCATTCAGTACTAAAGCCATCAGGTGGCACAAAGTAAAATGGACAACTACACAGCTTAGCAGAAGAGTGACCTAAAGCATGAGGTGCCAGAACCCACTGAGGAGACTGGCCTAGCATAGGAGTCAGAATGAGAGTAGGATGAGGAGGGTGTCCATACTGAGAGCAGTTCATGGGGCAGCTTAGCATGTAGTTAGAATCCAAGTGGGATGAAAAGAGCTTCTATGAATGTGAGCCAGCTATACAGGGTCTCAAAGTTTGAGCAGGGTGTCCATGGGAAGTGGTGGGTATCAGAGTCCAAACTAGGTAAGTAAGGGCTTTTGGGTAGGAAGGCCACCCAGCACAGGTATCAGAGCTGACCCAGGTGAGACAGGCATCAATGCAAAGGGGTGGCTGGAGGAGGGTGTCAGAACTCAGGTGGGGTGAGGTAGGAATATACAGGATGTCAGAGCCTGAGTGGAGTGAGGAGAGCATCTGCACAGGGGAGGGGCAACAGCAGTAATGATGAACGATTGGTTACATACCAGAGGACTGATAAAATATGTATATTCAAGATAATAGAAACTACGTTTTTCCAGTGAAGGGAAGGGAGTAAACCACAATTAACATGCACTGATTGATTAAAATTGGATGTATCGATTTGAACTCACAATTTTCAATATATAGAAATAAATACAGATATGAATATGAGTGTTTATGTACACATTCCCTGGCAATAAGCATATCTAGCGCCACCACGGCCAGCTAATTTTTCTATTTTTAGTAGAGATGGGGTCTCGCTTTTGCTCAGGCTGGTCTCAAACTCCTGAGCTTAAACAATCCACCCTCCTTGGCCTCCCAGAGTGCTAGGATTACAGGCGTGAGCCGCCATGCCCAGCCAATCCATGCCTTTTTGTTAGCATTAATAATGGACCAGTAAGAAATTCACTCTTGAAAACAGAGAATATGCAAGCTTTTGCTTATCACAGAAAATTTACACTTATGTGTGCCTTTTGCATTAGCATAACCCAGCAGTTATTCTGTCCTTGGCATCCTTGATTCCTGTAGGGGCGGTCTCATTAGCTGTAGTTGGTGTCTTTCTGGGGGCAGTAGCACCAAAACAGTGATGTTTCATCAGCATTACTGACTTGTTCTGGCATCCAATTTCCATTAGCAATGACCCTAACAAATGTATCAGTGAATTTCTTGCTGCTTCATGACCAGCAGATGCTTTATCACAACAAATTTTCTAGAATTTAATGCCATATCTCTTCTTACATTTCTACAACCAGCCTGTTGAATACTCAGTTCTCTTCAATCTTCAGTTCATCATGATAAATCTTTGCTTGTTTCATGATCAGCATACCATAATCAGCATACCATAATCAGCATACCATGAATGACTAAGTTCACTGCGACAGTGATGGATCCACTCTTTTAATATGTGACTGAGATCTTCATTTTTAGCTTCATGTAGTGTTTTTCTATTTTTCACTAACTTCTGTTCATCACTTTCAGCATAGAATTTCAACAGCTTATCCTTTTGTTTCTTCAGGTCATTTAGGTGGTCATTCCAACACCACACTCTTCTGTAAGACGTTTCCCACTTACACCACTATCCAGTTTCTCCAACAGCTTGACTTTCTGTGCTATCGAGATAAATGCTTCCTCCTTTTCTTATCACTGTTACCCCATAGGGGTATCTACAGGCCTTTTTGACATTCTTCAACAGTATCTTTATACCATAGAACAGAGAATAAGCAAACATAGTAAGCAATGCACGTAGGTCTTGGCCCTGTATGAAGCATTGTAGGGAACCTGTCATTGGCACATTCAGCCTATATATATACCATTTTATGACCCTTTGTGGGTATACTTGCATGGGGAATCTAGGAGTGCAAGGAAAAGAAACACAGCTAAAGGGGGCTGGAAAAGTCTTTCTTAAAATTTTTTAAAATTTTTCATTATGGGTCCATAATAGTTGTATATCTTTATAGGGTACAAGTGATGTTTTGATACAGACATACAATGTCAATTAATCAAATCAAGGTAACTGGGTTATCCACCGCCTAGGGCATTTAACATTTCTTTGTGTTAGGAACATTCCAATTCCAATTTTTTTAGGTATTTTAAATCATACCCTAACTTATTGCTGATTACTATCACTTTGTTGTGACATTCATTCTATCTAACTATATTTGTGTACTCATTAACCATACCGACTTTACCTCCTCATCCCCACTACACTTCACAGCCTCTGGTAACCATCATTTCTACTCTCTGTCTCTATGAGATCAATTGTTTTTAATATTTAGCTCCCACATATGAGTGAGAATATGCAAGATTCATCTTTCTGTGTTTAGCTTACCGCACTTAACATAATGTTCTCCAGTTCCACCCATGCTGTTGCAAACAGCAGGATTTCATTCTTTTGTGGCTATATAATATTCCATGTGTACATGAACCACAATTGCTTTATCCATTCATCTGCAGATGGACACTTAGGTTGATTCTGAAATTTGAATGCTGTGAAAAGTGCTGCAATAAACATGGGAGTGCAGATGTATTTTCGATATACTGAATTCCCATCCTTTGGATATTTACCCAACAGTGGGATTCTTGGGTCATATAATAGATTTATTTTCAGTTTTTTGAGGAACTTCCATACGTTTTCCATAGTGGTTGCACTAATTTACATTCCCACCAACAGTGAATGAGGGTTCCCCTTTCTCCGCATCCTCACTAGCATTTGTTATTGCCTGTCTTTTTGATAAAAGCCATTTCAACAGGGGTGAAATGATATCTCATTATAGTTCTGATTTGCATTTCTCTGATGATTTAACAATGTTGAACATTTTGTCATACACCTGTTGGCCATTTGTGTGTCTTATTTTGAGAAATGTCTATTCAGATTCTTTACCCATTTATTAATTGGATCATTTGATTTTTTTCTCTCAAGTTGTTGGATATATTAATATATTCTAGTTATTAATTCTCTTGTCAGATGAGTAGTTTGCAAATATTTTCTCCAATTCTGTGGGTTATCTCTTCACTTTGTTGGTAGTTTCCTTTGATGTGCAGAAGCTTTTTAGCTTGATGTGATTCCCACTTGTCCAATTTTGCTTTAGTTGCTTGTGCTTTGGGGGTATTACTCAAGAAATCC